AGGCGCTCGGGTAACGGAGCTGTCTTGGGGGGGTTTATGACATATGGGAGCTTTTGGTTGGTGCTGGGACAGGTCTGGTGGCGGTCAGGGCATGGCAGCGTGTCGGTGAAGGACGTTTGGGTAAGTATATGGTGGTACTTAGGGAGGTGTAGGGGTGTAGGGAAGGTGCAGGAGGAAGGTGCATGATGGTACTTGGGGAGGTGGATAAAGTGTGTGACAATGTGTGGCGGGTACTGGGGCTGGTCTGGTTGTAGGCAGGGCATGACACCTGAGTGTCGTGTTTGTGCTCGATCTGATTTAATTCCTAGCCTAGCGAGAAGGGATCACATGAGTTTAGCTGCAAACTGGGGTCCACGGTCGGATTTAAAGTGAAGGGGAAGACCATGTAGGCGGAAGATCTCTCCATAGTAAATATCGGCAACACCTTCGGCTGTGATGGAGCTGGTGCAAGGAATAGCATGGATTTGTTTTCCATACAGGTCTGTGCAGACCAAGACAGCATCGTAGCCTTGGGAGTTAGGTAGCTGTGTTATCAGGTCAACCCCTACCTCTTCCCATAGACCAGATGGTACATCTAATGGTTGAGTTATGGCCCGTGGGTGTTGTTGGATCTTCTTACGGGCACAAACCTCGCATCCCTCAACGTATTTCTCCACAAAAGAGCGCAGCGTTGGCCACCAGAAATGGGTACTGACCAAGTCGAGTGTCCCGTGTAGTCCGGGGTGTCCTGCAGTTGGATGGTCATGGCATTGACGGAGTACCTCGGTGCGTAGGTCGTCGTTTGCTGGTATGTATACTCAACCTCGGTAGTAAACCAACCCATTGTCCTCTTCCCATTCAGCTATCCCATTGGCCAAGCGCTGTAGTCCGTGCTCTTTGACTGTTTTGAGACCTTCCAATACCTGTGCTTCCCGTTCTGAGGCTTTCCGGATACAATCTGTTAAGATCATGTACACCGTGTAACCGTGCCGAAGCCACAAGGTGTCTAAGTGCGGAAGACGAGTGGGACAGTAGTGAAGTTATTAACAACACCGCCGTTACGCCGTTAGTCCCCGGAGATTGAGAGTATAGAGAGGAGGAGCTAAGTAGCAGCCAGGTCCGAGCGGCGGTATCGCCGATGACGAGGAGCGAACCAGAGAACGTCTAAGTCCTAAGGTTATAGTAGAGAGTACTTCAAGGCGATGAGCCTGAAGACTTAGAGGAGCACAGAGTTAAGGAGGGAATCTAAGTCGATCTAAGTCGATAATTAAACTGAGGAACTACAGTAGCGTACAGGCAGTATTTATATCTACGGATCGGCGCATCGGTGCAGAGCGCCAGACTAACTACTAGGAGCTATACGAGTAGTACCTGCAGGGTAGAGTAAAAGACAATAAGGAGAGACTAGAACGAAAGGGTATGTGTAGCGAGAAAGAACAATAAGAAGAGATTACAACAAGGAATGGATCTTCGGAATCCCGAGCGGCGGAATGGAGGCCCGCAGCATGGACTTGACACAATCCTCTAAGGGGTTCCGTAGGATTGAAGCTTCAATTTTTACAAAGTGGCCAGGTTTTAGGACTGTCTGTTGCCGGTTATCATCACTGTCCGATACATGATGAACTGCCATGCAGGAGAGGGCATCAGCTTGGGTGTTTACTCTGCCGTAACGGTGGATCATATGAAAGTCAAACCGTGACAGATAGAGGGCCCATCGGGCTTGTGGGCAGGTGAGATCTTGTGCAGTGCGCCAGAATTCGAGGTTTGAATGGTCCGTGGTGATGTCGAACGGTTGGGGAAGTCCTTCTAGGAAGTTCCTCCGGTCCTTCGGTGCTTCAATGATGGCAAGCATCTCTCGGTTGTAGGTTTCGTAGTTTCGTTCCGCTGGCTGCATGGATGCCGGTCTGAAGGCTACCGGATGCCACTGGCCATTGTCTTGCTTCTGCACAAGGGCGCCTCCCGTGGCAAAGCCTGATGCGTCTACCTCGATTCGAGTAGGCCTGTCTGGTGTCCATAGAGCAAGGATTGGTGCAGAGATGAAGGCTTCTTGAAGGGTGTCAAATGCTTTCTGTTGAGTGTTGGTCCAGGTAAAGCTGATGTCTTTCCGAGTAAGGTCGTTCAGGGGCCTGGCTATCCTTGCAAAGTTCCGGATAAAGCGCCGGTAGAAGTTGGCAAATCCAAGGAATCCTCGTAGCTCTCTAAGATTAGTGGGGACTGGCCAGTCGTGAACTGCAGCTACCTTTACCGGGTCCATCCTCACCTCCCCTTCCGATATAATAAGGCCTAGATATTCAATGCAAATCCCAAGAACCCTTGTAGTTCCCGAAGGTTAGTAGGGACTGGCCAGTCACAAACAGCCGCTACTTTTACCGGATCCATTCTCACCTCCCCTTCTGAGATGATAAGTCCAGGGTATTCAATCTGTTGTTGTTCGAATTCACATTTTTTGGGTCATAGATAGAGGTCGTGCTTTTCTAACCGAGTTAATACTTCCCATACCACTTGTCGGTGTTCCTCGAGGTCATCACTGAAGATAAGGATGTCATCTAGGTAAACTGCCACCTTGCTGGCTGCAATGAGATCAGCAAATATAGTGTTCATAAGTGCTTGGAATGTGGCAGGGGAATTTGTGAGACCAAAGAACATAACCTTAGGCTCAAACAAGCCTCGGTTTGTTGCGAACGCGCCTTTCCATTCATGCCCCTTCTTAATCCGTATGTTATTGTAGCCCCAGCAAACGTCAAACTTCGTGAAGTATCTTGCTCCCTGAAGCTGGCTAATGATGTCAGCAACTAATGGGAGAGGGTATTGGTTCTTCACAGTGTACTCGTTCAGTTTCCGGTAGTCTTGTACAAAACGGAGTTTCCCATCCTTCTTCTTTACGAAGAAGACCGGTGATGAGATTGGTGATTTTGAGGGGACGATATAGCCTTTCCGTAGGTTTTCTTCTAGGAAACGATCCAACTCCTCCTGCTCGTTTAGGGACATGGGGTAAATCTTGGTGCACATGGTTGCTGGTGTTCCAGGTATGAGATCAACTGCATGGTCCCAAGGCTGGTGGGCAGGTAATCGTTCAGAGGCAGATTCTGAGAAAACCTTCTTGAAATCACGGTACTGCTCAGGAACCATTTCTTCAAAGGTTTTAACAGGTTTGTCTCGGTTGGCTTCCTCTGCTAGCTGCTGGGAGTAAGTGAATCCTGTGGCGCACCAGACTTCCTCTGTCTGTTCCTCTAGGATTCTGTTGATTCGCTCTCTTCAAGGGTTGCTTCCAGTGGCACCTCAATGTGAGGGGGTTCAGCGGGAGGTTCCAGGTTCGGGAGTTCAAGGATCGGGCTCTCTGTGTTAGTGGCGGCTAGATGAGAGTATAAGATCTCCTCGTCTGGGACTTCTTCTATCGCTACTCGAGGGGGCTTTACTGAAAGCCGTCCTTTCTCCCAATCAATCTCCGGATTTACCTTCCGTAGCCAGGGGAGTCCAAGGATGACGTCTTCACCTCCTAGGTTGGTAATCAGAAAGTCCATCCATCGCTCTTGATTATCCACTGTGAGTGCTAGGCATGCAAAATGGGTTATCCGTCCAGCTCAGTTAGGTGTTCCATCGATATTAAAAACATTGATTGGTTTATGCAGGGGTGCACATCTTACATGGTTCCAGGTGGCAAAGTCTTGGTTTAAAAACAGGGCGGTAGCTCCACAGTCTACCATGGCTGCAGTTGTTATACTATGATTCCTTTAGTCTCGCATGAATTCGGAAATGTGGGGAAGTGGAGTTTAATTCCCGGATCGACGATATTGTACATGATGGGTGCAAGTCATATGAAGAAGTAGCGAACATAACAAACTGATTATGGGGTACTCTCGGTGCAGCCGAAGTGGGTACCCTCTTTAAAAACCCTGTTGAAAGCCAGCGGACGAGGAGGACATAGCGTTAGCACGATCAAGTAATTCCCTTATTTGACCAATCTGGTTGGAAAAGTCCTGGTTAGGGGGGCTCGGAGTAGCAGGTACGGGTGCAGGAGCAGATATTGGGGTTGAGGAAGCAATCTGGATGGATTCATTTGGGATGGGAACAGGGAGAATGGCGCAGGTCCCGTAGCGGATATCTGTTGGCATCGAGGTTGCTGGTGTCGGCCTCGGTCTCGTCCTTTTTGCAAGGGGGTCTTTGTACAAGCAATGTTACAAACGACATGTATGGACCGACAAAATTGGAGACGAATTGGTTCAGATCACATGATAGCGAGGGAGAAACTGCCTGGCACTCTAGTCAATCACCGGATGACCTTGACACTCCTCCCCCTGAGACCGCAACCCCCAGACTGTTAGGGACGATATATGTCCACAGGAATACCAGAGATGGGGGCTATCAAATATGGGTTTGGTGCAGTCATGAAGGTACAGAGCGGGAGTTCTGGTGGCGGCCTGTAGATCTGGAGAATGAGCATTCCACACACCCCAAGATTACAATGAGGTCACTAAAGCTGACTTCAGGGGGGAAACCTAGTTGGGTTCTGAATAGCACGTTGACGACGTACCGAGCCCGGAGTGTAAAGCAGTCCAGGTCGCGACCCACCACAGGCTTGACATTAGGTTCTACAGAGTCGGTTAGTGCAGCGAAATGAGCTGTGTCGTGTTCTTCTTTTGTACTATCATCGCCTTGTATGGTACGAGTTCCCCGCGACTTATAGCATGTCGAAACCACGTAGTTTGACTCGTGGAATCGCCATGAGGAGGCAGTAAATGAAGGAGACTAGAAGGAAGCACAAATTGAAATATGTAAGTGATGATGGTCAGGTGTCATACTCTATCACCTGACCTGATCAAGTCTGTCGCGTCGTTCGCGTTCTACGTACAGGAAGTCACATTGAATCAGACCTGAGACCTCTGTATACCTTTGAGCAAGCACACTGCATTTTCTGTCACTTATGACATCTAAAGTCATGGCCCGTATGCTGTACACAAGGCTGAATGAACTACATCTTACCAAAAACTCTCATTCGCAATAGTGAAGGTTGGTACATACTCATGGATGCAGAAGAAGAGCCACCTCATCATGGAGTATATGCTCCATCGCCGGTAATCCCCATACCCCCAATAATTCGACACAACTGATTCTCCGTCAGCGGGCATCCAACTTTCCACTGGCAATGCACTCTTGGAGGGACGACGACAAGGTTATTGACAGTGAGGATGAGGCGATAGAATATAGTAGCCGCTCTAGTGAATATAGTGACACAGATCGGAGCATCCTGGATGTTGTTGAGTTGAATGCTTTTGTGTCAATTGATTCACTGACTGAGCATGTTCTTGTATTTCACAGGACTTCCAACTACAGACAGTGCATCGGGTGCTGTAATTGTTCTGATTGAACACATAACCTTCCGTAGAGCTCAAGCAGTACTCCAAGGCCTACCATGACTGATATTGAGGATCTGATAGTTGGATTAACGACGAGTGCGTCCATCTCGTCAACCACTGATACTCAAATCCTCAGAAAGATGGTGAGTCTCTGAAGCATCGATATCTGCGCCTCATAATGATATATATTCGCCTTTATAGGACCCAGCCAGCACTCCGAAACCCACCACATGTGCCATTGATAGTCAGATACCCGAGTGTACGGAGAATGTTTCCATGTTGTTGAGCCCTGAAGCTCTATTTGGGCAGATGGTGAGTGTCTGAGTTGTATGGATCTTACAAAGTGCTCATCTACCTTGCAAAGACTACAGAACCTATTATGAGTGGCATCGAAGATCAGATTCCAACGAAGGCATCTTCATTGTTGACCACTGATACTCCGATGGAGGTGCATGCATTTTCTGGATCAATGTTGCATGTCTGACGATTTTCCATCATAGAATTTAGCCAGCTCTCTACCAGGACACACAATGGACAACCTCGATACTCGAGGGAAGAATGTGAGCTTAGACATGAATTCCGTCTGCAAATTTAGTCTCATGTCGCCATCTGTTCAGATCTCAGCCAGTCCTTCGGAGGGACCAGGTCGTCCGGCAGATGATCCGGGTCGTTTTCCTGAGGGACCAGGACATCCTTCGGAAGGCCCAGAACACCCAAAATGGTTTCAAAATGTTGTTGTGAGTATGTCATACATTGGCGCCATGGACTAATGTGTACCTCCATTTGAGTAGATAGTTGATGACCTTCAACTCTCCCGAATTTTGTTCAAGGCGGGTGCTCTGATTTACCTGCTCTTCCTCATCAGAGTGCTTCAGAAGATCTATGCAACGTTTTGGAGCCAACCCCTTGCTGTTGCTGTTGGAAATCTGACTTTGAGTATTGTGTTGTTCATTCTGATCCATTACCATCCCCCAATGCCAGTCCAACTCAAAGTCACTAAAAAGGTGAGTGTTACATGCTAGAGCAAATGCTTCCATTACTCATTGCCAAAAAAGTTCGGAATTCCACAAGTTGCAATTGATGCTAAGATCTTTATAGGGTCCTTCACATGTGTCTCATTCATGATAAAGATGGTCCTCATTATCGGAGAGTTAGTAGCTTATTAGGAGCTGTAAATCTTCATTCAACTCAATGTAAAGTTTGATGCAAAGAATCAATTGCGATGATCACATTGTAGTGTTCTTGATGAAAACATGAATCATGATCAGAACCATATTCAGTATGTACAGTAGGAATCAATAGATTATACCAAAATCATCTCCCCGTCAGATCGGCAAGTTGCATTCTTTCTTGAGATATTCGACTGCGAGCAAATCGTTCTTGTTCAAAAGTGTGTGGGCCCTTTGGAACTTCAAGTGTGTATGCCATTCTTGAGGAGTCCTCAAGACCACTGGCTCCGTAGAGTTTTGAATTTTAGTCAGTCGCTTTTGAAACCAATCTTCGGCATCTTTTGACCAAAATCCACAGTTGAGCCCACATGTTTTCCAAAAGTTCGGACAAGGCCACCAGGATCGCATTGCAGTCTAACAAAGGAATGAGAGACAGGCATCGAAAAAGGTTAGCACATACCTGTAGCAACCTCATATGTACCACATATGAGATCAATTTCTTCAGTTGTCAGTTGTTCATCCCAGAATGCACGGCCTCGGCCCACTTCCCACACACAAAGTGCATGCTCTCCTTCTTGCAGAGCATGTACAGTAGGTCCATCACAGACATCATCTTCATTGACAATCTCGCGAGCTAATCGAGCAACTATGCCCCCACTTAACAATGCAGCACGACCCCTAGCTGAGCGTAAGAACTCGTCACGAACAACCTCATATGCACGATAATCTTGTGAATTGGGAAGAAATCTGGCTGGACGAAAGCTGAGAACCGCAGGTTGACGGCGTGGGATCACCTTGCATATTCGAGGAGGATAGCTAGCTACCAGTGTATTGAAAGACAGACCCTCTTTGATTAAACACTTGATGATATCTACTGTTCCTGGACCCCACTTTCTACGAGCTATCTCCAAAACAGTGGCTGTGCTGTGTAATGCAATAAGATATGGCTCATCATCTGTAGCATTCCTGATAGCCAAATCATATTCTTGGGGTGCATGCCGTAGATCTACTGCTTCTAACAATTGCATGACAAGATTGATTATCTGTAGCTTGATATGATTGTCTGGTCCATCAGGTACAGGCGGGCGTCCACATCCAAGCAGGCCCAATACTTTCTTCCAAAGCCTAGGTAGAACCACGACTTCTCTATTGTCTTGGATGGGTCGTTTTAGGAACCCGAATCAATGGTGGGCAAGATCTTCAATGGCCGCTGAGAGAGTTACGGGTACCGTGGGCGAGTGCTTTGTTGGTTGGAGATGAGCAACATAAGTATATGAGGAAGCGGGGCCGACATCATGGCCCACTTCTGCATTTGATTGTGAGCGGTAACGAGCTTGCCTCGTTTTTGTGTGAAAGAGAAAGGAAGGAATCTAATGGGCACTCCAACCAACCAATCTAATACACAATATGCAAGTTCACTGCTATCAAATTTATTTAATAGCAAGGGGTAGCATTGGCAAAGGTTCCGCAAAGCTTTGAGAGCTAAGTAAGAAGCTTTAATCAATCAATTTGAATCGTTCTAAGGATTTGATATATTCCTTTGATCAAGGTAGATTCAGCACGATTTGTGCTTTGATTGTATTGATATGGGTATATCAAGAATTGGGGGTTTGAATCAAAGTAAATTAAAACCAAAACACACAGACCCCTACGGAGGGCTAGAACTATGTGCTGGCACAACCACACAGCGTGATTTGCCCTTAAGACCAACAACTGATCCTAAGTTCGAAGAATACCCAACAACTGGATATACTTCTCGCAGTCACAAGGAGCAGAACACAACATTCCTATACTCACAAGTGCCGGGCCCGAATGGCTGCTAGCGAAGAGGTTTCAGTCTGGCGGGAGTGTGTCTTTCCTTTTTACAGATTAGCACTGCAACGTCGTCCCAAAATCACTTGTATTCCAGATACATCAGATCGCTATTTATACATACAGAATATAGAGTCGCACAGTACAATTAATTTAATACAATAAACGTTCGGAACCGCAAGGAAACTTCTACACTCGGTCAGATACCATTTAATTTGAATCTACATGTCCTTATTTGGTCCACAATGGTTCCAAGATTCTAGTATACCTCCAAACATAGGTAGGTACTTCGATATTCATTTAATTTAATTGTTTTTAGAGAATGACTCGAATGGTATTCAGCTGTCATTGCTGTTCAACACTTACTTTGATTGTTTGTCACCTCGTCCGGAGGCAAATCAGCTCTCCTCGATTCTAATCCTATCAATCTGATTCATCTGGATCAAACTAATTGCTTCTCTCTTTCAATAGACACCCATTGTGCCTATACTCTATCAAGGGAGTTACGCATAGTATTCATTTAATTGCATTCTTCAATATTTTCTATGTCAGGACTCTTTGACATTCATTTGATATGTCTTCGGAGCCTCACAGTACTTCGATCGTTCTTCTAGTCATTTTCCTCAACCATGCAACTTGATTGGTCTATTAGACTAAATCACAGTCTTTTTAGATTAATGCATGATCTTGTTCTAGAAGGAGTATTTGATAATTCCTGAGTTCTAGAAAGTCATTTCGAGTCAATCCTCGGCTCATGGTCACTTGAGTAAGTTCTTCCAAACTCCTGCCAGTGTAAGGTCCAATAAGAATACCCTTGGTATGTCATACGTGAATGGTCATCCTTCGGATGTAGTCCGAATCTGGTATAATCCTGCTTGACAAACAGGTAGACTGTTATCCGAAGGTAGTATCGGGGATGGGTAAACTAACCAACTTGTGGTAGTATGGGTATATGGTCCCTTCAACTTATTAGACTGATTCAGTATTGACTTTGACTGTCAATCTGGGTCTCAATTACAGTCCTCTTGATACAAATCTATATGTGAAAATGTCACAATTCACAGCATAGACGTCTAGCCAAAATTTAGGCGTGTCAGCGGGTAGAGATAAAAAATCATTGTCGGAGTCATCCCCGAAGGAGTCTGAATCACCACCGTCAGGATCCAGGTCCGTGCAGACCTCCCATTCATCAGCAATGGAATCATATCACCATTGGCTTGGGCTGTATCTCTCCCAGATATCCTCATAGTTGCTCTTTCCCACAGCTGTCCACACCCTGATACCCTCTACAAGATCCCAGTAATAGACACGAGCACCTGTCCGACCCGGAGGTCAATCTCTCCTAGCGTTTTCTTCCCGCTGTAAGCGAGATTGCCGTTCGGATGCCGCCTCTGATATGATAATTTTGAGTCTATGAGCTTCTCTGCATTGGATGAATGTGAATATGTCCTCATTGTGATGGGGAAAGCTTCCACCAGTGATACGTGGATACCACAATTTAGGCTTATGAGTAGATACCTCTGTGCTGTTGAAAAAATGGCCTTCTGATAACGGTGGTGGATAAGATGTTTGTGTCGCGGAAAGGTTGTCAATCGTGGTAGTATTGGGAATTGGAAACGTGACGGGATTAGGAAAGGGGATCACAAAGTTGAAAAATTTTGGAATAGACCAATCATGAGTTTGACCCCAGTATAACATCAAAGGCATTTTGGAATCGAGGAATACAGGGAGCCAGGGAAGACACCCAGAATTGTGCACATCGACAAATGTACCGACTGGTGGAATATCCATGATTTGGTCAAGATACGCAAGCCAATCATAGCTGATTGACGTTTCTCTACGAAGTAGCTCTTGCCATTCCCACTTCGCAGGAACAGGCCCCCGGCGAAGTTCCACATACTCCTTCTGTCTCTTACCCAAGAAAGAATCGTCCTCATTGGGTGGAGTGTGCAAAGCAACGAGATTAACCCATTTGTTCTCCAAATGATATAGCATTTGAACGAAGAATGAGATACAGGCAATCAAAGGAATGAATGCTTGACAAGATCGCATTCCTGCTCTACGCGCCTCTAATTCCGTTTTTCAACATTTATGATACCCATAGAAGTTTGGTAGTGGCCAGAGGCGGAAATCGTCAGGAATCGCTAGCCGGTTGATTTTCATACAGGCACGTTGAAACGCGCGCATATTTCTCTCTAACGAGTCCCAATCTTCTTATAGTGACGAGCTAAGAGCGTAAGAATTTGACTGGCCGTCTTTCTCAATTGGTAGGGTGCTGAATCCATGGTCAAGGCATTTCAAGCAATGGAATTTGAATGGGTTGCTGCTGGGAGCGAATCCCAGGAAGGGGATTGAGGAAGTCACCCAGCGTGGTGTATAAAAATCGGGGAGCGTGGCTGAATTTGGACTGGGAATCAGGTTTTGTTTTCGGGAGGGCACGATGGGAAAGTTGTGCGGCCTACGACTGAGGCAAGTAAACACATCGTTGTCTATCAGCGCATGGAAGCTGGATAGGTCAGCTTCCTGAGACCTCGCAAGCATACAAGTCACCTCTTATGGTCAGATAGCATTAAGACCCAAACATGCTATTCATTATAAAGGAGGTGCTTACTCTCCATCACTTCGAACGTTGTCCGGTTAAGCGCAAAGAGGAGTTGATACTGACGATATTGCAATAAGGATATTTATTCGAAGGTACCTTCAGCACTTCATACCCAGTTTGACCAGATAGAAGCCTGACGAAGAACTCAGATAGATAGATAGATAGAGTGTTTTAGATTTTCAGGAATCAAAATCTAATGTCAAGTCATGTGCACCACGTGCTGCCTTGCTTATTCGACCATTAATTCGATGTCGATGTCCTGTTTACTGTCTTCTCCCAGTTGCTCCAGGTAATAAACTGGTTCTGCTCACATACAATACACATACAATAAACCTCGAGGATCCTAGCACCTGGACCAGGATTTCGACCGAACTCAAGATCAACGCGTGCAAAGAATGACTGGATGTTAGATCAAGGAGCGACGTAGGTAAAGAACGATCAAGTATCTAAGGAACGAGGATTGAAAAGAATAAAAAAACTATAGGAGGGTCGAATGAATGTATGAATGTAGCTGATAGGTCAAGATAAATAACATGAGGTATGTTTTTATTTTAATGGAAAGCTAACGAACAAAAATTGTGGGCATAGAGTTGATACAACAAAAAGGATGGCATGGTGAGCAGGCATGGAGACGTGGTCAACACAGGACTATAAATTAAGTAGATGAGGGCATAGTGTCAAGTCCATGCCTCGGGCCTCCATCCCGCCGCTCGGTACTCCGAAGATCCACTCGTTTGTCATGCCCTGGCTACAACCAGACCAGTCCCAGTAACCACCACATGTTGCCATACGTCCTACCCACCTCCTGTATGTCCTCCGCACCTCCCCAAGTACCACCAGACACCTCCCCAAGTATTTCTGACGCCACTACCCAAACGTCCTTCACCCCGACACGCGTACGAAAGCCCTCTAGCCGATAACCCCTTTAAGTATTAATCTCGATTACCTCCCTCCCTCCGATTAGCTACCTCATGCCTCCAGATGTTCTCTTGTTCACTTCCCGTACCTATTTAAGTAACGCCGCAATGTCCTGAAGCCCCAGCTTGGTATATTTTGAACACACACCCTTTTGCATAGGTCCAGTCCCTGTCCCTTTGTACCTGCTAACCATACGGATTTCTCTTTACTCTCTGTTTCATTACCTCTGTTTCTCTCAACTCTTGTCTATCGTCTCTGTGATCGTCTATACGATCCATTACACGCTTTTACTTCACGTCTAAGCAATCCGAGTGAGTTCCCGAGCTCCCTCGAACAATACTAAAGCTCCCCAATGCCTACCGCCTTGGCGAGCTAACCTCCCCAAACCTCCTCAAGCTCCCTAGCTATTCTATAGGCTTCAGGACCTCGATCTAGGTAATGTCGAAGCTACCCCTCACGTCGAACTACGTACTGCTTCTCCATTACCACCTCCCACACTCGAGGACGTCCATCCTCAAGCCTAGCCCCCAGGGACCTACCCTCCCTGGCACATCCCTTCTCGGGAGCTTACAACCTCGAGACCCATCTACACATACGACCTACTCGATCCTATATTGACGTTCTAGCGAGTACAACTCCTACTACGCAATATTGTACGGTCCCGCACTCCTCCTTAACCTCCCTACGCCTTAGGGACCTCCCTGGACCTCCTAGGAACCCCTCAAGGGTCACCATCCCGTCGTTCCAGCCACTACTAGGTCATTCCCGTCCTCGGTCGCGGTTCCCGTAGCTCCCTTCGAGCTCCAGCCTGCTCCTAGCATGCTACAACATAAACCTCCACATACCAAAACCTACCCTAAGACCTATTTTGACCCAGGTCTTACATCGTTATTGTAATCTCTTCTTATTGTTCTTTCTCGCTACACATACCCTTTTGTTCTAGTCTCTCCTTATTGTTTTTCACTCTACCCTGCAGGTACTACTCGTATAGCTCCTAGTAGTTAGTCTGGCGCTCCGCACCACTGCGCCGTTCCATAGATATAAATACTGCCTGTACGCTACTGTAGTTCCTCAGTTTAATTATCGACTTAGATTCCCTCCTTAACTCTGTGCTCCTCTAAGCCTTCAGGCTCATCGCCTTGAAGTACTCTCTACTATAACCTGAGGACTTAGACGTTCTTTGGTTCGCTCCTCGTCACCAGCGGTACCGCCGCTCCGACTTGGCTGCTACTTAGCTCCTCCCTCTATACTCTTGATCTCCGGGGACTAACGGCGTAACGGCGGTGTTGTTAATAACTTCACTACTGTCCCACTCGTCTTCTGCACTTAGACACCTTGTGGCCCTGGCACAGTTACACGGTGTACATGATCTTAACACATAGGTGAGTGAAAAGATAATGAGTTAAAACCTAGGTCACGATCGAGCACCGTAGGTAAAAGCGGAAAGAAAACGCCTAACCCCTAGTGATGTGCTTCAGACGAGTTCCCTTTTCAATGTGACTTCCAACGTTTCTCGAGAACCTGTGATAGAAGTGTTAAGATCTGCATGACTCCGTGGACTTGGGAATTCTACTTACACAGTGAGGACTCGTTTGATTGCTTCATCCCTCTCGTTCGCATTCCCGTACTTAGGCACGTACTCTAAGAACCTCTCTGGCTCATAGACAGAGTAGAAGAATATGGCGATCTCGCCCTTGAATCTCTCCTTCACGCCGTATGTTATCAAAGATTCGTTATTGTTGGGAGAGCTTTGATCGTATGCCGCATACATAGTATTGCCTTTGATCGACAATGACTTTTAGCTTGTAGATGTCATCTACCATTGATTCTGCCGAAAACCCCTCCCGTACATTGATGTATTGTTGGTGCTTGTGGCGGCTCGAAAGAGTGGATGGGAACTTTTTGATTTTTGTTATTGCACGATCCATTCCAAAGTAGAGACCTGTCGTTGACCCTTCTACCTGCAGAAGCAATTTAATATCATTCCTGATAAAATATACGAATATTCTTACCTTATCGAGTTCCTGTTGGGGCATAACACCTCTGTTGAACAGGGGGATAAGAATGGTGTGACTAGGAGAAAGACGTCTTCTTGCTACGGGTGTTCCATTTCTGGAGGAACAACTGGAACGAGATCAAATTTGAGATGATGAAGCCATAACAAAATGCAGAGTAGGTTCAAAATGCCACAGGGATCTGTTTTGACAAACCATTTCTTAAGGACCTCAGCACGCTTTAAACACGACTCTTTGATGTTTTAGTCTCTGGATTTTTTTCTCAATTATTTTGACAAAAATATTCCGCAAAACCTTGGGCCTCCAGTGACAAGCAGGGATATTCAAGTACAACCCCGTACAACCCCTCGAGAAACAGAAAACGATACATAGGTTTGACCGAGAATGCTAGGACGTTTTCTAGCAGGTGAGTTTGTTCTTTATCCTCGTAGTGTTTCTTTCCCGCATTCAAAGCTCATGACTAACGAGTCAAGAACGCTCTGGCTTCAGGTTTTAGGGATATGCAATTAACGACAAAGATCATTTGAGAATAACGAAATTTTGGTCATAATTTGTGTATGGAATTGGGTTTCATGGGGATATGCAAACATGGCAAACTCGAACACCCCATATTCCGGGTAGTCAGAAATGATGTATGTTCTTCATGCATGACTGGTTTTGAACCCTTTCACTATTCGAGCAACTTGGTTCTTGCTCCCGTCCTTTATTAGGAAGCTTGCTTAATTCAATGAGTAGATTCAAATACCTGTAACTTCTTGTAAAATATGCTCCTCTGTAGGACTCGTCTTGAAACTCTTTGTGATTTCAATAACAGAATCGAGATCTTGAGACCGCATCAATCTGGACTTCGTACTAACCCCAACGAGAGAACAATGGTGAATGTTAGCGAGACTATGCAAGTCGGCTGTATCCTGGCTGTATCTTATCGATGGCCCAAACAGGTCGGGTTAGTCATAATACCGCTGTCCAAAGTTGCAGTATTAGGAAGGGACATTGTGGGGTAGCCTCATGTATACGTATTACGCTGGTAGTCCAAAAAACAAATTTGCCTACTACCAGCCTACCTACCTACATCTGCCGACGTGACGTGAGATGACCATCATACCCGCAAAACAGCTTCTTTGACCGTCGAACAGTCAAGTATACTATGAGCTTAGCGTTGGATGTGACAGTAGATCACACAGTGCATCTTGAAGGGTTTCCTATAAATGCGAAAGATGTACAGGATATGATAGAATATGATATGCAAAGCGCGACAACTCCCAGATTTTACAACCAGCTATCCATGTTATCACAGTTTCGCTTATGCCTTGACAATCTTTCATTAAAGATCCTCCCGTATAAAGGACTATTGACACGCACCAGTAACTCTCCCAAGGCATCGAACAGTTTGGTGACTTTTGTCAAGAAAGGTGATGATGCAGCAGCAGCTATCACAGGAGATGGGGAAGGGAACGGTGCCACAGGAGGAGATGATTTGAAGAAGTACGCTGAAAACTTCTCCAATGTGGCTTCTGACCACAAAGGCGATGACCACAATGATAAAGCGAAGATTAATCCCATCACGGGAAGGACTACCTGCCCAATTCTGAGGACAGATACAAACTGTGAAGCATTTGATACTGGGACTTCTGTTCTAAGAGAACAACAACTCACTAGTTTTGGCATGATATACCAGAGCTTGGGAAATTGAAACGAGACGTCCTTCTTATCCTCCTCAATCCACAGTATGATCCTTGTGTGCTGTTTGCGATTTCCGTCACCAGTGGCTATCATTTGATAGCGACTATCTATATCGATATAGGCCTATTATCAGATCAGCAGGGACTAGCACAACGTCACAAGAATATACTACCAAGGAAGTTACCCAGGTTTGATCTGTATGGCGAAAGGAGGAGGTAGCTCAGCAAAAAAGAACAGTGAGAGATTAGAATTTACCATTTCCGTGCTTCAAAGCTTGTAATTTTTCGGCACGCTTCACCTCTAAGATCAAAGCACAACCCTTAGTCGTACCCATGACTACTGGGGGAACATTGGACGAAAGATCCTGAGTCTGATGAGGGCTACTCATTTTCTTGAGCCTTGCGGGTATGACTTTGAATCAGGTGAGCCCTATGCGAGTATCCGTTGCGACAACCAATTTTGAGTCGGGGGATTGAGCCAAAGCAGTGCTAAAAATGGGTCAGACAACCACGGCTCGATTCTTTGTATGTGAGACATATATTCTTCCAAAATACCTTCTCGGCTCCTCCAATTCATATGAGTCATCTGGCCCAAAATACAAGGTGCTCTCCCATGTTTCAAGATTGAATTTCCTAAAGCCAAGTGTGGAGAAATATAAGATTCATAGTTATTTCAGAAGATTTCGCTCACCTAAAACCATTGTACAAGTATCCTATGAGGCATTCCTTTCCATGTTCGAGAAAATGCAACCCTGTTGCCATGATTGGATAGGTATCACCTTCACTGGGCTTTCCGAATGGGGTGGGGCGAGGGAGGCAATCATGGTATTTCCATTTCCCTGAACCTGTAAATTCAAGTTAGCTTGGATGATATCTCTTACAAAGCCAACAATTGCACATACTCTTCTTAAAGAAGAGCACATCAGCGCCTGAACAAACAAGGAGTTAGTCGCCACACTGGTTAAATACCATGGTTTGGATTATGGCGTCAGTCTTGTAGATGACTTCACTTTTCCGTCGATGAATCCACCGGTACCCCTAGTTTTGTTTTCAGAAACATTTATCGGAGCAAGAACATGTCACATATTATGGTTGGGTAAAAACAAATCACACCGCCATCCATGCTACCGACAAAGAGAGCATTGTCCCTCCATGTGACAGCGGTGAAAGGACAATCACCTTTTTCTTCCCAGGTCGTCGCAAATCCATGTTTTACGTTGTAGACGCGTATCATATTATCATTGCTGGCACTCGCCAAATAACAGCTATCTGGTGAAAATGCCAATGCATGTACACAGTCTGTAGGGGCCTCTATCGTGCCCAGCTGAGTATAGGAAGTTTTCATAAATCTTCAGTGGCCGTTCTGTTGCAGAAGTCAGGGAAAATCCAGCTCACATATCTGACACGAGGCTTGACACGAGCAAGTGGTTAGTACCGACGTCTCGACTGATGCGAACAATATAAATATTATTGAAGTTTGGCTAGGACACTGGCAGGGAACGCACTGTCCCTCTGTCCAAGGGCATCTAAAGAAAACACTATGACCGTATATAATGATATAAACTGCAACGATTCATTGCAGTTCCTGATGCGGGACCAATACAAACAGGTGTATATTCAATGATTCTTGGTACATAGACGATATCCAATTAAAATATGTGTGAGGCGCTGCGGTTAGTGGAAAAGAAATGAATACAGCGCCTTGGGAAGAAAGGATGCAGCTGACTGGTCAGGTGTGAGAGCACTGTGAAGCTTGTAAATACAGCAGCTGCTTCTCTAGCTCCTGTACATCTTCCCTCTTTTCGTCTATTAAAACAGAAATTATAGAATGGAGAGTCTTCAGCTCTTCCAACGGTCAAAGATCTGGAAGATTCTGACAGAGACATTAAAAAAATACACCCAGCAAAATATTTTCATACCTTGTTGAACTGCTAGATTTGTTGCACCAAGCTTGCTATCTCAGCACGAAGCTGTTCTATTTCACTTGTGGCGAGGGTGATTTGTCGCACAAATTGAGCAATTTCAGCCGCCTCGTCCAATACGGTGCGCACCTATGGGAGAGACATCAACGGTCTTTGGAAAAAGGTGCGGCAGATCACTTCACCCTGACCAACAACGTGATATAGCCTAATAGCTCTTCTGTTTGAACCCCTTCATGGCCAATGTTCTCAATCCGGATTCCAAGTCAAACGTTTAGCCTGATTGGGAATAAAGGGATCAATAACGATGATGAGTTCCATGGATGATTGTTGGTGCAATGTCAAACAATCTTATAAAGTGAAAAGCGAACTACCAACAGAGTTTGACTCTGTGGAGTAGTGGTACGGTGGTATTAGATTGATGAAGAGTTCGAAGTGTGATTTATTTCTTATTGACTGCATGTGACTTGTGACTTGTTCACTACTCTGCTCTTGACTGTCTAGTCCGGTTCCAAACCAGACGTAGATATCCAATGGACGACAAAGATCCTTTGAGGCTACATTAGAATGTCATGTTCGCGATAGGTTGCTTTGTCTCGCCTTAAAGTTCCTATTGTTTGTATGTCTGACGTGCCTACCACACGGTCTTGCCTGCTATAAAAACTGACTTGGATCATTCGGATAGAGCCGTATTCTTCCCAGTCCCTTCAATTTCACAGTCTTCATGGACACTCGCCACACCCTTTATCCAACCGGTAGATCTATCAATATCTGGCGTTCACTCAATGAAGAATTCCAAAGTTTGATGAAGATGCTACAAACAGCAGTCCACGAGCACGAGCGTGTCTTCTCTCAATGCCACCCAGGTCCCGATAGCTATAAATTTGTTGAGGTATGTTCGCACATCCAATTGACTGCTACATGTACTAAGTGTGCTTGATCTTTGACGCACCAAGAACAACCAAAGTCTCTCGCCTGCTTCTATACGGAAATCGTGAAACTCAAGACTTTGGTCAGAGAGCTATCGACCAAGGTACGTGTGGCATTCGACGAGGATGAGACAGCTCCACTTAAACCTCCGTTGATTAGATCACTCGCGTCAAACAACCTATAGGCTAGTGCTGGGTATCATAAAATTCTGTCTGGTATGATACGGTATCAAGAATTGAGCTTGTGGTATGATAAGTATCACTCGTATTATATGTATTATACCAGTATTATGTAAGCGCCGCAGGCGATTTTTTTTCTAGGTATAATACCGTATAATACACGTATTATATCTTGTATCATAGGTATTATAAGTATTGAACAACTAAATATCTACCAGACTGTCAAGTCCATGCCTCGGGCCTCCATTCCGCCGCTCGGTACCCCGAAGATCCACTCTTTATTGTAATCTCTTCTTATTGTTCTTTCTCGCTACACATACCCTTTCGTTCTAGTCTCTCCTTATTGTCTTTTTACTCTACCCTGCAGGTACTACTCGTATAGCTCCTAGTAGTTAGTCTGGCGCTCTGCACCGCTGCGCCGTTCCGTAGATATAAATACTGCCTGTACGCTACTGTAGTTCCTCAGTTTAATTATCAACTTAGATCTCCCTTCTCAACTTAGCTCCTCTCTAAGTCTTCAGGCTCAACGCCTTGAAGTACTCTCTCTACAGCCTTTGGACTTATAAGTTCTTTGGCCCGCTCCTCGTCACCGGCGATACCGCCGCTCTGACTTGGCTGCTACTTAGCTCCTCCCTCTTATACTCTTGATCTCCGGGGACTAACAGCGTAACGGCGGTGTTGTTAATAACTTCACTACTGTCCCATTCGTCTTCCGCACTTAGACACCTTGTGGCTTTGGCACGGTTTCACAGTGTACATGATCTTAACACAGACACTGTCAAGAGACCACTCGGAGTCCTTCGCACTCCATTTTTTTGATGCTTGTTGTGATTGAGTGTTCGATGGCTTCTCCTTCGGAACATTCTTCATCTGCGATGGCGGATCGTAGCACTCAAGCAGTTTGCCACAGGACAAATTGACAAGCGACTTGATTTTGAGGCAGTCAATGCTGGCTCGAGTAATGATAGGAATGACACCCGTATCATCCATCTCTTCGTCGTCTTCGTTTTCCCCATCTTCAAGTGCTGTAGCCCCATATGGATCAGATATGTTGAAGCTAAGGTTTTCCTTGTCTATCTCTGGACCGGCTGGGTTCAGAAGATCGTTCAAAGTCAGAGCTGGAAGTGGAAGGCTGGTCCAGGTCAAGTCTTGCCGTGTGTGTATATTTCGGATCTGAAAATCCATACCGCCAATATTGTTGAAGCTGAGCCATCCAAATTAAGTTCTGACCAGTCAAGCCATTTCGCTTCGCAGTATCAAGGCCTGACAACTTGGAGGCGCCTCGCTCATCGCACATCTCGGATGGTGACACACTAAAAAGTTTGATACCAAGTTTCTGAAGCAGTAGAATACATATAAGCGAGGATGCAATAAGTTAGCAAGAAACCCGCACCGAAACCTGACAAGCACCACTGTCTTTTGATATGTGATTCCACCATTCAAGCCGCTTACTTGCATCCTTCACAGGGATATCAAAGGGGGATTCGCGATACAGATATGCTGCAAAAGAATAACTCAGAAACGGTTGTCATAGAATCCAGAGTTTCTCACCAGTGAGCTCTTTTACCATCGTGTGCCCATCTTCCTCGGTGCCCAATCACTCTCTTTTTTGTTCATTTTGAAGCATTTGAAGAGCCGATCCGATTAAGCGCCAGACTAGAGGTGTACAGGAGCTCTGCCTGAATTCAGATCGGGGAGGGAGTTCAAGGCGTAGAGCTCCATCTGGGTAGTACACTTTAGAAAGTTAGTTTCTGCTTGTCCTCCATAGGTAAAAATACACACTGGGGTCAAGCAGATAAGCAAGGATAAACATATCTTTTGTACAGTCATTGAGGAATATATCAAAACGGCGGTCAAAAACAGCAAAAGTCTCAGCGCGATGACAATAAACATCACTAGCTGCAGTACACAATTTGGTTATATACAAAGCAATAGATTTGTTCATGACTTACTTAGATCTTGAAACACATGGGTGAAACCAATCGCAATGCCAATGAAGACAAAGAAGACATCGGAGCACATTGTGTTCTGTCCTTCGAGAGTCAGTAGGCCGCGTGCAATAGGTTGTAGTAGCAAATTTGCATTGTGAAGCTGAAGTTGAAATTTGAAATGATCAGAGCCATGAATGATATACTTTTGTAACTCTTTAGTCTGTGAAAGACATGAATATCTGGCATAAACTATGATTTATGGAGGAGTACTTACCATCCTCCCCTCCTCTATTTTGGCCAAATACTTGATCCATAACTTCCTCAAGCTCTACTATTCCAAAGTCTTTCCTCTCCAAGAAGGAGACAGAAGCCTCCAGGAGCATCTGATAGTCTTCATCTGTAAGCATTACAGGTGATGAGGCAGATCGACGCGACACGATGCGACAAAAAAAGCAAAAATCTCAGGCAGGCAAATCAGATACAGATATCATCGGATCGCTTTGGCCTTGCACCTCTATAAGTGACAACAAGATTTATAGGTAAATAATCTATTCACTACAGAAGTACTATAATGCACAAGATATTGTAGCAACTCACAGTAAAGCTCAAGGGTTTTAATACATATAATACATCAGATTTCTAGGCCTCATGGTAGCAAAGGTATAATATGGTATAATACATGTATTATACCATCCTGTATTATACCACCTGGTTCAATACCCAGCACTACTATAGGCAATATCAAGATATTTCTTTCGAGTCTGCTCACGACTTGTGAGCTTCTTGGCAATGTGTTTGATGGTTTATACGAGCAATTCTGCGGAGTGGACCAGCAGATCACCCTTGCGTGGGTCAAGGCTATAGCTTGCAGTGGTAGGCCAGGTGCTATATCTCTGGAAGAGCAGGTACATTTGAAAATTCCTTCAATTTTTCTATGATTGATTGTGACCCACTTCTCAAGATACAACAATTTTCTTTTCTTTTCCCCCCTATGTTTGTTCAGACTTCTAAGATCACCGAGATCTTGAAAACCCTATTGCATGAAGTAGGTTTCACTGTGTGTTTGCTGTTGTTCGTCCACTCAGAACTTCTTTAGACTATGCAGATTGAGACAATCGTTCGATTTCTGCCATGCAGAAGTAATACTTCTAGCAAGTAACTGTTTTCGCTCTAAATAGCGCCTGTTTAGATATTGCGTAGAAATAAACTTGACTCAAGTCTACGTATGTGACCTCTTTAGAAACCAAATATAATTGTCTTTCATACTGACACCTCGTGCTGATTGATAACAGCACTATGTACACCTTCATCGATGTGGCGACATACGCGTCAGTTAAATGAATTCCAACTGATCCTCCAATAAGATTACACCATTATTTGAACCAGGTCTGAGGATCCCTTTGTTGCTCACAAAATGCTGCTTCCTGTTGTTAGTGGCAACACTGTGAAGAGTGGCAATGCTGAAGATACCAGCGACTCCGAATCTTCCGCTATGGACATCCAATCTATGGATGAGAATATGGAACCTGGCCCGAGCACAGCATCTCAGGATGCATCGCAGACTCCATCCCAGATTTTGACGCACACTCCTTCGCAATCTACGTCTCAGGAGCCGTTATTCACAGTACAGATCCCGCAAAGTCCGTTCACAGTGCGAGTTTCACAAAGTGCTTCGACGATACAATGGACAACAGGGCAGCCTCCTACTCCAAACCCTCCTACTTCAAACCCTCTGACTCCAGACCCTCCTACCTCAAACCCTCTTAATCCAAACCCTCCCACACCAAACCCTCCTGCGCCAACTCACCCCACCTCACACCCTCCCCAAATGCCAGGCAACTCAGACACCACGATGGCCGATCCTGATGCCACCCCAACGGCCGCACAATTTGGAAGCACCGTGTCACTACAGGTGTGTAATGTTACCAGTGAATGTATCGGACGCAGTATATAGAAATTTGTTAGCAACCACCTTCCAAAAGGAAAAGACGTGCAGTGTCTTCTCAACCCATCTTCGACCAAGATCAAGAGAGCGGCCAAGACATGGTAAGTATCCCGCGTGTCATAAAGTACGCAGCCCCTATCATTTTCCTTTTCTCACCGTCTCGACGCCTTTACTTGTACGATACATCATCCCATCACTGTCAAACCCCCATCGATTACTGATCCACCTGACCCATCTTCTCCTTCTATTGGCTTCCGCCACCTTCCTTGTTCCTAAACTGTACAGTATTACATCGTTGTTTCTCGCAAACCGGATTATGTATATATAGCCAACCCTCCACAGCCTGGTCCCTTATCTTGACCTCTCTGTCATTATCTGGGACCAGGTATGTGCTTACTTATTATTACCTATGACTACGATACTCAATATATCTCTGTCATTATTTGGGACCAGCCTGCCGCCGTTCTGCTTAGTCGCTCCGCCTTGTTGCCTTGTCCAGTTGCTCCGCCTCACCGTTCTGCTTAGTCGCTCCGCTTTCCCGCTCCGTTAGTCACTCCGCCTCTGCCGCTTCGTGACATTAGGTCAAGATCCATTACTGCACTGACAGCCTACCAATAAGGTTGTCCTTGCAGGGTCTATAGACACCACGTCTTCCCCAGTTCCGCCCGACTCTGAAACACCTGTTGCCAGTATAGACTGCTCCGCACTCCCACACGCACTTGACCCCAGAGACCAAGCTCACGCCCATAACAACGACGATACTTGGCGCGATTGCCAGTCTCAACCTTGCCCCAATGCCCTTTCGAACTCAATCCGAGAGCCACTCACTGTGAGCAATATAACCTTCCTGCCGATTCCCCAGCCTCGATTGCCTACTCCCATCATGTCGACTCCTATCCCGCCTGCCCCAAACACCTCTGCGGAGGATCTCATGGCTCAGCTCATCAGACAAGTAGCTAACCTTGCTACAGCTATGGAGGAACACTCATCCTCTAAGTCAAGCATGAACAAACCCGAGGTTTTCAAGGGTAAAGATGGCGCTGAAGCCCGTCGCTTCATGGCTCAGTTCCAGAATTGGGCGTCAGAACAACCGGATCTCGACAAAAGCCAAGTAAAACTCATCAAGTCCGCCTTGGGATTCTTCACAGAAAGTGCCGGAGATTGGGCAACTCCCCATCTGCTACATTTCAATGCGGAAAATCCCCCTTTCGGAGGAAATTGGGAGGCGTTTCTGAAGGAATTTAGCCAACGGTTTGAACCAATGGACCCAGGTATGGAAGCCCGTAGCGAGATCAAGAATCTCAGGCAAAGTAAAGGACAGACAGTTGCGGAATTCGCTCAGAAGTTCAAGGATATCGGAGATCGGACTGAAATGTCTGATATTGACTTGCGGGAACGTTTCTTCACTGCATTACTCCCAGAGATCCGACAACACCTCATCACCGTAAACATTGCCCAAGGAATTGCTCCGACTCTGAAGGAGGCAATCAAACGGGCCATATCGGTGGATGTCTACCTGCACGATCCCACCATGACTGGCCGGAACTCTGGATACCCTCCCACGCATACCGCTCATACTACCCCTGCTGACCCCCACGCTATGGACATTGATGCAACCCACACCAGTAATGGGAATACTAGGGAAGCATTCCTAGCTCGCATGAGAGGACGATGCTTCGGCTGCAGTGCCCAAGGTCATGTCAAGCAAAACTGCCCACACCGAGAAACCACCTGCCGCTACTGTGGACGTCGAGGACATCTGGAAGCAGTCTGCCAAGACAAATTCATGGGACTCGGACGAGACCGAGGCCGACGCCAGCAACCTCGACGCCAACAGATATCCGCTACGGGACCCGCGCCATTCTCCCTATTCCCAAACGAATCCGTCCAAATCGCGTCCTCGACCCCAACATCTGCTCCTGCACCCGTAGCTGCTACTCCGAGCCCCCCTAACCAGGACTTTTCCAATCAGATTGGTCAAATAAGGGAATTACTTGATCGTGCTAACGCTATGTCCTCCTCGTCCTCTGGCTTTCAACAGGGTTTTTAAAGAGGGTACCCGCTTCGGCTGCACCGAGAGTACCCCGTAATCAGTTTGTTATGTTCGCTACTTCCTCGTATGACTCGCACCCATCATGTACAATATCGTCGATCCGGGAATTAAACTCTACTTCCCCACATTTCCAAATTCATGCGAGACTAAGAGGAAGGAATCACAGTATAACAACTGCAGCCATGGTAGACTGTGGAGCTACCGCCCTGTTTTTAAACCAAGACTTTGTCACCCGGAACCATGTAAGATGTGCACCCCTCCATAAACCGATCGACGTTTTTAATATCGATGGAACACCTAACCGAGCTGGACGGATAACCCATTTTGCACGTCTAGCATTCACAGTGGATAATCAAGAGCGATGGATGGACTTTCTGATCACCAACCTAGGAGGTGAAGACATCATCTTTGGACTTCCCTGGCTACGGAAGGTAAATCCGGAGATTGACTGGGAGAAAGGACGACTTTCAGTAAAGCCTCCTCGAGTAACGATAGAAGAAGTCCCAGACGAGGAGATCTTGTACTCTCATCTAGCCGCCACTCACACAGAAACCCCGATCCTCGAACTCCCGGAACTGGAACCTCCCGCAGAAAACCCCCACATTGAGGTGCCACTAGAAGCGACCCTTGAACAGAGTGAATCAGCAGCGGTGGAAGAACCACCAATACACCGAATTCGAGCCAATCATAAAACTCGCCGGGCATGGGTAAAAGCAGGAATTCTAGAGGAACAGATGGAGGAAGTCTGGTGCGCCGCAGGATTCACTTACTCCCAGCAGCTAGCAGAGGAAGCCAACCGAGACAAACCCAGTAAAACCTTCGAAGAAATGGTCCCTGAGCAGTACCACGATTTCAAGAAGGTTTTCTCAGAATCCGCCTCCGAACGATTACCTGCCCACCAACCTTGGGACCATGCAATTGATCTCGTACCTGGAGCACCGGCAACCATGCGTACCAAGATTTATCCCATGTCCCTAAACGAGCAGGAGGAGTTGGATCGTTTCCTAGAAGAAAACCTACGGAAAGGCTATATCGTCCCCTCAAAATCACCAATCTCATCACCGGTCTTCTTCGTAAAGAAGAAGGATGGGAAACTCCGTTTTGTACAAGACTACCGGAAACTGAACGAGTACACTGTGAAGAACCGATACCCTCTCTCATTAGTTGCTGACATCATTAGCCGACTTCAGGGAGCAAGATACTTCACGAAGTTTGATGTCCGCTGGGGTTACAATAACATACAGATTAAGAAGGGGCATGAATGGAAAGGCGCGTTCGCAACAACCCGAGGCTTGTTCGAGCCTAAGGTCATGTTCTTTGGTCTCACAAATTCCCCTGCCACGTTCCAAGCACTTATGAATGCTATATTTGCTGATCTCATTGCAGCCGGCAAGGTGGCAGTCTACCTAGATGACATCCTTATCTTCAGTAACGATCTCGAGGAACACCGACGAATGGTACGGGAAGTATTAACCTGGTTAGAAAAGCACGACCTCTACCTACGACCCGAAAAATGCGAATTTGAACAACAACAGATTGAATACCTCGGACTCATCATCTCAGAAGGGGAGGTGAGAATGGATCTGGTAAAAGTAGCGGCTGTTCGTGACTGGCCAGTCCCTACTAACCTTCGGGAACTACGAGGGTTCTTGGGATTTGCAAACTTCTACCGACGCTTTATCCGGAATTTTGCCAAAATAGCACGACCTCTGAACGACCTGACGAAGAAAGACACCAGCTTTACCTGGACCGACACTCGACAGAAAGCATTTGATACCCTTCGAGAAGCCTTCATCTCCGCACCGATCCTTGCTCTATGGACACCAGACAGGCCTACTCGAATCGAGGTAGACGCATCAGGCTTTGCCACGGGAGGCGCCCTTATGCAGAAGCAGGACGATGGCCAATGGCATCCGGTAGCCTTCAGATCGGCATCCATGCAGCCAGCGGAACGGAACTACGAAATCTACGATCGAGAAATGCTTGCTATCATTGAAGCACTGAAGGATTGGAGGAACTTTCTAGAAGGACTCCCTCAACCATTCGACATCATTACGGACCATTCGAACCTCGAATTCTGGCGCACTGCACAAGACCTCACCCGCCGACAAGCCCGATGGGCCCTCTATCTGTCACGGTTTGACTTTCATATGATCCACCGCCCTGGCAGAGTAAACACCCAAGCTGATGCTCTCTCCCGCATGGCAGTTCATCATGTATCGGACAGCGATGATAACCGACAACAGACAGTCCTTAAACCTGGCCACTTCGTACAAATTGCAGCTTCGATCCTACAGAACCCCTTAGAGGATCGTATCCGGAAAGCCTCAGAACGGGAGGCACAGGTATTGGAGGGTCTCAAAACAGTCAAAGAGCACGGACTACAGCGCTTGGCCAATGGGATAGCCGAATGGGAAGAAGACAATGGGTTGGTCTACTACCGAGGTCGAGTATACGTACCAGCAAACGACGACCTACGCACTGAGGTACTCCGTCAATGCCACGACCATCCAACTGCAGGACACCCCGGACTACACGGGACACTCGACTTGGTCAGTACCCATTTCTGGTGGCCTACGTTGCGCTCTTTTGTGGAAAAATACGTTGAGGGATGCGAGGTTTGTGCCTGTAAGAAGATCCAGCGACACCCATGGGCCGTAACTCAACCATTAGATGTACCATCCGGTCTATGGGAAGAGGTAGGGGTTGACCTGATAACACAGCTACCTAACTCCCAAGGCTACGATGCTGTCTTGGTTTGCACAGACCTGTATGGAAAACAAATTCACGCTATTCCTTGCACCAGCTCCATCACAGCTGAAGGCGTTGCCGATATTTACTACCGAGAAATCTTCCGTCTCCATGGTCTTCCTCTTCACTTTAAATCCGACCGTGGACCCCAGTTTGCAGCTAAACTCATGCGATCCCTTCTCGCTAGGCTAGGAATTAAATCAGATCTAACCTCCGGATACCGTCCTCAGTCTAATGGCCAAACCGAACGAGCAAATCAGGAAGTAGAGAAATACATCTGCCTCTATGTAGGACAACGACAAGATGACTGGGCAGAGCACCTTCCCATGGCGGAGTTTGTGATTAACTCATGGACTCATTCTGCGCTAGGCATGTCCCCGTTTGAGCTAACCTACGGCTATCTTCCCCTGTTCAATATCCCAGTGGGCCAACGCAGCGGTATTCCAGCTGTGGATGACCGTATACGGATTCTCCGAGAAGCGCGACAAGATGCCGGAGCTGCCTTACACCTAGGAAAGAAACAACAGAAGGAGGGATACGAACGCGGGAAGCGGAAAGCTCATCAATTTAAAGTTGGAGACCTAGCCTGGCTCAGTGCAGAGGACATTAACCTCCAGCTTTCCAGTGAAAAGTTAGGAGATCGACAGCTTGGCCCTTATCGCATTCTGGAGAAAATTGGCCCTTTAGACTACCGCCTTGACCTTCCCCTATCCCTAGATCGCCTCCATCCCGTCTTCCATGTTGATAAACTATACCCCTGGAAAGGTAACTCCATTAATGGCGAAATACCAACACCACCAGAGCCGGTATACTTAGAGGATGAAGACGAACTGGAATATGAAGTAGAGGAGATCTTAGACAGCCGGGTTCGATGGAAGAAGTTGGAATATTTGGTTAAGTGGAAAGGTTACGACGCAGGGCACAACTCTTGGGAACCCGCAGCCAACCTCAGTCGAGCACCAAAAATTGTTCGGGCCTTTCATAAAAAACACCCAATGGCGGCAAAGCCTTGACCATCGAGGGCAATGGTCATAAGGAGGGGGGTAATGTCATAAAGTACGCAGCCCCTATCATTTTCCTTTTCTCACCGTCTCGACGCCTTTACTTGTACGATACATCATCCCATCACTGTCAAACCCCCATCGATTACTGATCCACCTGACCCATCTTCTCCTTCTATTGGCTTCCGCCACCTTCCTTGTTCCTAAACTGTACAGTATTACATCGTTGTTTCTCGCAGACCGGATTATGTATATATAGCCAACCCTCCACAGCCTGGTCCCTTATCTTGACCTCTCTGTCATTATCTGGGACCAGGTATGTGCTTACTTATTATTACCTATGACTACGATACTCAATATATCTCTGTCATTATCTGGGACCAGCCTGCCGCCGTTCTGCTTAGTCGCTCCGCCTTGTTGCCTTGTCCAGTTGCTCCGCCTCACCGTTCTGCTTAGTCGCTCCGCTTTCCCGCTCCGTTAGTCACTCCGCCTCTGCCGCTTCGTGACACCGCGCTCCTTGTTCCCAGAGATTCTAAAACCTCCATCAGTTGAAAACACTGCTTGAACATCAAACGAAGATGATGAATCAGCTTTACAATGGTATACGGACATCAAATGCTGAAGTCGTCAATAAGCAAGATGTGAAAATCGACAAGTTGACTAATAGTGTTCAGCATAATTCGACCATATTGGACCACGTTCTGGAGGCATTGGATATTCAATCAGTTAAGAACAAGGGCAAACAGCGGCAGGAGGAGATGGATATTGACGAAGAGGCGCGTCGTCAGGGTGACAGTGGCACCGCAACGAACGCAGAAAACAAATCGGATGGCAATCATGTTGATGCTGAGGATTCAGGAGATTTGACCCAGGAAACTCCTTTCAGCTACACCACGAAAAAGAAAGCAAGTCCTCATTCAGGAGCCGTAAAGCACCGACCACAGCAAGAGCTCAAAAACAAGGTGCGTGTGTACCGTTATGACCTATTTTCAACAGACATGATGAGTACTTTGGCAGGAGACCATTCGTCAATGGTTTAACGAAGTGATGGAGGGGAAAGACCTCTACAAAAATAAGGTTTCCGATGAGGAAGCCAAGCAATTTGCTGAAAAATTCAAGACGGATCCACTCGCACGCCTGTGCACTGTTGACAATTTTCGATATTGGATCGCAGGTGTTCCTAAATCAGCATGGAACAAAGGCGCATCATATGTTTTCATGGATATCCTCGTGAAGAAGAAGCTAATCACCATACCCAACATTAAAGCTTGCAATACCTTGCGTGAGGCTTTCTTCATACGATTAAAAACACTCCGTGGAATCTGGTTGGAGAAACAGAAAATGGCAGAGGATAAGAAGTTGCCACATGCCATATTTGCAAAGAGATGGCAAAGGAAAAGCACTGTGAGCTTCTACTTGATAGCTTACAATCAACGCTGATACGAGATTTCTTCTACATAGTTGTTCCAACAACGAAGGAATGTGATACTTGCAGTTCCAGCGCTCGAACCCTATCTCAAAGACTTCGATGAGCTAGGGGTTGCAGGGATGTCTTCCAACAAAGAGCAACCTGACATGGATGAAGCAAGTATGTGCTACAACATCAAGGAGCCGTGCTGGCAAAGTCAACAGCTCAAGAATTGGGTCAGGCTTTTGGATTATTGTCATCTTGAGGGTCGGATCTCTCTTGAAGGACCTCAGTTCGGTTTCACGCGAGGCGCTGCACCCCGTTTCCGTGTGGATAATAATGACAAGAGTTTGAAGAGCAGATATGTTGTTGGGCTACCTGCTAACTTCTACGATGCGGAATGGCTCGAGAAGCAGGAGCCTGGCTGGGCAAAAGGTGGGACGGGATTTGTCAATGAGATGGTCCGTCCTAGTGCACCTAAGAAATTAGTTTTCCCTGCGGATCTTGCTAGGTGCGTGCGCATTGCCACCTTGGAACATTATTCAAAATCCTGGCAGACAGTTCGAGAGAGGGAAAGATCATCGATAATCAAAGACGTTGGCAAGCTTACTGAGCCCTGGGGTACTTTCACTTTGTTTCGGACATGGATCCACTGAACGGCTCGATCTTGGGCTTGACGAGTCATATTGGGCTTTTTGTATAACCTTTGACCGAAACACCTGGTCATGGTCATATATATCTCTGTGTTAGATAGCGACAGATTTTTATCAAATCATGCCCTATATCTTTCCGGAAATCAATCGATTAGTTTCTCAGTTGACAATGAACAACCATCTGAGGCGTCAAGTGTTTCTGACGCGCCTCCGAATCATTTCTTCAGAGTGGGAGGATCAGTTTGCTGATCTTTTCCTTCCTTGCTTCCCAGAGGAAACGAGCTCCCAATACCAGGAAAGACTTGCATATGGCAAGGAGATCTTCTTACATCCGATAATTGAAGGTCTGGAAAAGATTGTGGGGGACAAGGGCATACGAGCAACTGGCTTCAGACTGTCTTCTATTTCATTCGGTGCAATTGAGAGCCTCCTCGTGAAGGAATATACATGGAGGATGATCATCCATGGCGTGACGGGTGCACTCGTGGAGTCGCCTTGCCATTTTGACCTCGACAACCCCACCAGTGACAAGGATGTAAACGATTGCCTCCAAAGGTATTATGAAGAATTTAAATTTATCCGTGAGTCTCATTCCCTCCCTACCTTCAAATTCAGGCGCTCCTTGCTAAGTATCATCATTAGCTCCTTCCGAGAGAGAGGAGGGTCTACCAGAGGTCTTGAAAGAAGAGGGAATTGATACCGACTCTTGGATTGCAAAAGCTACCCCGTATAATGCTCTCATACCAGCTGCCATATCCTTCAAAATGTTTTGCCCTCCCATTGTCTCTCCAGAGATGATCATGTATCACAAGAATGCAATCCGCAGTGAGCGCAAGCCATTCAAGCAAGGGGTTTATCCCGATCTTTGGTACAACCTTTCTGTATATGAAAAGGGTGGTGCTATAGTGACTGGGCAGCTTATTGACGAGAAGTCTGTTCCAATTCCTGACTCAATTTTCTGATTTTTCGGTACAATCCTTATCTGTATCTGATGATGTAACCAAACAAGTATTCAAAGAGGATGTAATTTTGCAAATTTAAAGATTCCAGAAATGTTACGTAGCAATATCGAGGGAGAGTCCCGCACAACAGAAGATCTACAACATCGTATGTAGAATAAGAAACTCTTAAGTCTCTACTTTTGATTCGTTGAGAAGTTTAGAGGTGTGTGGACTAATCCAAGGAAGTTTCACAACCGGACTTGGGACCACTTGAACTTCATCGTCAATCATGTCTTCGAATTTCAACTTGGCCAATAGCTAAACAGGAAGATGTGATCAAGACAACTTGCACGGAATTAAAGTTGATCTATGACCTACCTCGTCCATGTGCTTGAGGGCAAAACCGTCTTGGTTTATAGTTACTGTATTCTAAGATGAAGAAAGTGAGAACTGCGCTTGACAAGGACAAGCATACTCAGCGTACCATGACGTGTTGTCGCCTGGTTTCAAACATTCCACTGGATTCTCCACGACTACAAGCAATGCGTCAGCGCCGGTGAAAGTGGCGGGATTGTTGTGGTCACTGCGATCAGGGATAGACGATAGTGGACTTTCGGGCTGAGCAAGTGTTATTCCTTGGGAGTTGTGACCATTCAAAGAGCTCTTTGCCAAACGCAAGTCCGAATTGTTGACCATCGCGTGCATAGGAATGATGATGATTTAGTAGTGCAACTTTGGTCGGGAGCTGTCAGACTGTCGGGGTTAGTTCGAGTCTGGGTAATCGAGCATTCAACGTCAACGTACGCGCATCAACAGGCTTTCTGCGAAGTCAAATGTCCGGCTCAAGGTTTAGAATAGGGCAAGGCAATATGCGAGTTGCACTCGATAATGACCTTGAATACTTGCGGGAGATTGATCAAGTAGTAAGTTTCGCCAAGGCTCCAAGCGCTCAGCACGGTCACGTTTTCAGTCAATTCTGACGGTCGAAATTACTCTCATTTCTTCCTAAGTATACTTCATCGCATTTGTTTCGTTGACTTTCTTCATGAACCCAACGAGTAACGGACACCGCTAAAGCAAATCCTTCAGATGGTTGGGACTCTACTCCTAGAAGTTTGCGCGGAAGCGAGGCCTCTGGCTGGAGTGGTGCAAGGAATCATGGATGGGATGCTCCTACTCCCAGAGTCGCCAGAGCTCGCACTGTGGACACTAGAGAATGGGCAGAAGAATAAGTTCAACTTGACAGAGATCAGTACACCGGAACGGAATCTGGGATGGCTGGCGACGACGATCACAATCCCCTGACACAGTACGAGGATCTCAGTATTATCAAAGAAGCTGAGATAGCAAAGAAGCAAACAGTTTGTTGCTATGTTCCGTTTATCCTCATATACGGTCTGATCCTTAAAATGTTGTAATTCTTTACAGAAACAGATTTCTGCCCGTCAAGCGCAATACGTGCGTGTATCTTTGGAAATCTCTGGTGACTTCGGTTTTGACTCTTATTCAGAATGTGGACAATGATCTTTGGGAAGCCAACCGAATGCTGACTGTCGGTGTTGCAACGCGTAAAACAACTGATCTGGACTTTGAGGACGAGTCGGAATCTACACTACTCGTCATGGTCCACGATCTTAAACCACCTTTCCTAGACGGACGTACGGTTTATACCAAACAGCTAGATCCCATGAATCCCATAAGGGATCCAACTAGTGACATGCCAATATTCTCCAAAAAGGGCAGTGCCCTTGTTAAAGAGAAGAGAGAGCAAGCAGAACGTGCTAAAGCCGCTGCCAAACTTGCCGCGCTGGGTGGAACTTCCTTGGGTAACATCATGGGTGCTAAGGATGAAGAAGCTGAGGTCGAAGGTATGGCAATATCCTTCGTTATTTTCGGAGTTGCACATTCACGTTAGTTATCGTTATTTCTTCCTACAGCGAGGCGGAAAGGCCAGAAAAGGAAGCCAAGGAGAAGGGAGAAGACAATTACAAGGCTGACTCCACTCCAAATTTGCTTCGCACCTCAAGTCCTCTACTGGTGTCAGCGCCTTTGCTAGATCCCGGACATGAAAGGAACAAAGAGAGTATCTTCCTGCATTCGCATGCAGGGAAGACTAAATGGAGATTATCAGAGAAAATCAAGGTCGGTGCCAGTCTTGTACTGCATTTGGCATCTTTTAAACAATGATTAACAGTTATCATTGCCGTCGGAGAGAACCGGTCAGGGAAAACGACACAGTTAGCCCAATTCCTGTATGAGCCTGATGGACACTGTCAGCATGGCATCGTAGGATGTACTCAACCTCGGCGTGTGGCTGCTATGTCGGTAGCTCAACGTGTTAGGGAAGAAATGGAGGTTAGTTTTTCTTTCGATTGAGCTCCTCAATTGGCGTTGACAGTCATCTTCAGTGTAACCTGGGATTGACTGAAGGCTACGCGATCCGGTTTGAAGACTGTACATCGGCAGAAACCAAGATCAAATGTGTGTTGCCAGCGTAACTCCCTTCGAATATCTTATTTGACCAATGCATCTAGATATGACTGACGGTGTACTGCTCCGAGAATCATTGAACGAGGGAGATTTGGATCGATACAGCGTCATTATCTTGGATGAAGCACACGAACGGTCATTGAGTACTGACGTTCTAATGGGCCTGTTGTGCAAAAGTGAGTGAGTGCGATTTATCCCCTACCTAATCTTTATCAACGATGTCAAAGTTCTTTCGCGTAGAAGAGATCTTAAACTGATCGTGACGTCTGCCACCATGAACTCTGAGAAGGTAGGATCAGGGTAGGATATAATTTAAAGTCCTTTCTATTTGACTCACCTTTTCCTGTGTGCAGTTCTCGAACTTCTATGGGACTGCTCCATGCTTCACAATTCCCGGTCGCACCTTTCCTGTCAAGATATTCCACTCCAAATCCCCTTGTCAAGATTACGTCGACAGCGCAGTCAAACAGGTCCTGCAAATGCATCTGTCTCTACCTCCTGGTGACATTCTAGTGTTCATGACTGGACAAAAAGATATCAAATAACTTGTCAGGTCACACAAGGCACTTCTTTTTTGTCGTCCTCTGCGCGTCATAGTACTAATATTTAGCATAGAGCACCTCGATCAACTCGACGAACCAGCGCCGTTAGCTGTGCTTCCTATTTACTCACAGATGCCTGCGGACTTGCAGGCAAAAATTTTCGAGGCTACAAGTGGATGGATGAAGAAAGGTCATCGTAGCAACAAATATTGCTGAGACGTCTTTGACAGGTTGGCCAATCTTCCTTGTGAATTCTATACATCCTCATTTCTTTCAGTGGATGGTATTCTCTACGTTGTTGACGCCGGGTACTCAAAATTGAAGGTTTATAACCCGAAGGTGGGAATGGATGCGCTGCAGATTCCTCCTATCAGTCAGGCAAACGCGGGTCAGGGGACTGGTCGCGCTGGTCGGACAGGCAGCGGGTACGTAATAGTTGTTCCTCTCACTCTTTGAGAAGCTCAATTTTTCGCTAGGTTCTGTTACCGCCTATACACCGAGATGGCATATCGAAACGAAGTGTTCGAAAACACCATTCCTGAAATTCAAAGAACGAATCGTGCGACCACTATCCTACTGCTCAAGTCACTCGGAGTGAAAAACCTATGAGAGTTTGATTTCATGGATCCTCCGTCTCAGGTAGGTTCCAACGGACTTGCTACAGAATTTCTACTAACATTCCGGGTCAGGCAAACTTTCTCAACTCTATGTACCAATTATGGGTTCTTGGTGCATTAGACAATGTCGGCGATCTCACTCCCATTGGTTGAAAAATGTCGGAGTTCCCTATGGACCCTTCAATGGAAAAGATGCTCATTGCCTCCGTGAATATAATTGTTCATCTGAGATGTTGACCATCGTCTCCATGCGATCAGTTCGAGCGTGTTCTATCGGCCCAAAGAACGGATGGAAGAGGCTGACGCTGCCCGGGAGAAGTTCAATGTGCCAGAGAGTGACCATCTCAAACTATTGAATGTTTTCAACCAATGGAAAAGTCATGGCTTCCGTGACGAATGGGGGATGCGCCACTTTTTGCATCCAGATCTCCTTCGAAAAGCCCGAGAGGCCCGTGCTCAGCTCGAGGATATTATGAAGTTTCAGAAGATGGAAATCGTTTCTGCTGGAACTGATTTCGATGTGATCAGGTATGTGTGTGTATTGGAGATCGCTTGTTGATAAAACAACGGAGCGTATGCATAGGAAAGCGATCGCCGCCGGTTACTTTCACCAAGCTGTCCGAGTCAAAGGAATTGGGGAATATTCGTTCAGGACTCCCAACATATTTGCATCCAACCAGTACGGCCTTGGATGTAAGAGGGTTTTGTCCGCATAAAACTGAACTGGTTTATGTCCCTAATCTTTCTCCTTAGATACCCCCAGTTATGTTGTTTACCACGAACTTATCTTAACATCGAAAGAGTATATGACCCAAGTGACTGCGGTCGATCCGTATTGGTTTGGTGAGAATCTCTTTTGTTGCTTGTTCCCTGTATTCTGATTTTGCTCTCCCCACAGCTGAGTTTGGATCGGTGTTCTACTCTGTCAAAGAAAAGAATTTTGATCAGCTTGGTAACAGGCAAACTGCAGATCGCGAATTCTCCAGAAAACTGAGCTTGAGACCGAGATGGCTAGGCAACGGGAAGAGTGAGAACACCCTCTTAAATGTATCCTGTGCACGGCGCTAATGTGTGGGTTCACCTCAAGATCTGCCAAAAAGGCCTCGGAAGAAGCACTAGCAGCGAAGACTGTCAGTAGCAGTAGTCCGAAGATGATTGTTCCTGGGACACCTCGACAATCCGGTATTGGGGCTGGTTCAAGAGTCAGTCAGACACCTAGGAAAAGCACGGGTTGATGATGTCGTATCGTACAATTGCAACATTCGACGATGTGAAGACCGGATGACGCTATTTCATACCAACGATCTTACTGTGCTACTCAGATATATCTGTGTGTATGTATAATCATGGGGTTTGGTCGGGTAAATGAACTCTCAATAACAATTTCTGGCGCCTAATTCCATGACTCGGGTTGTGAAAACCTTACAATGCAGCTTTTCACACCGACACTGATAACAGAACTCATATTATTGTCAATGACACGGGTAGAAAAGATTTAGTACCCTTCCATGTTAATTATTAGGGAGGAAATTGACCAGCTCCTTCTGGATATGCGACCAACCGAAGAAGGAGCTTTGGGTTTCTACTGGTGCGCCCCGGGATCCATCCCATCGAGTATGCCCCTATGTATTGTCGTCGTTTGTCTCTCTTCTCAACTCCTGCACCCAGGATGGCTCAGTCAGTGGTATGTTCATCATCAGTGGCCTTCAGATTACGGATCCTAGAACAGGGGAGTTGGTTACTTCGTTCAGGGGCGAAAAGGATTCAGGGATCAGCCATTCGTACACCGTTTTGTCTTTGTTACTCTGAATGATGAAGATTACGCGATCTAGCTATGTAGGCTCCCGAATGTCAGACAAGTGAGGAGGAGGAAGCAGGATAACTAACCTTGTCAGAAGACTCTCCTTCTGACTCACTACGTTCAAAGCGATGTGAGTCGTGTCCTCGACAGGATAACCATAAATGGCGGTCGAGACAGAAGGAAAAGCCTGACGAATGACTTTAGGGACGAAAACAAATGTACATTGAGTTTACGATGTGGCCAACGAATTTTGTCCCGGCTACGACAATATTGGTCTGATAACGATGACAAGACGCCAGTTTGTTCGCCGTACTTTGTTCGCAAAGTTGTCGATATATTGTTACATAGCGACCAACCAAGAAGACGTTGGCGACGATCGAGACTTGGAGTTGATTCGTTATACCTCCTTGACTGCAGGAAATATGAAGCCTTTGAGAAGGACTGCGCTACAGATTACTTACCGCAAGGAAACTCCATCCAGGAATGCAGCCTTGGGTTTGAATTGGCTTTGTCCGCTGGTGCCGTGATTCTGATTTGTGAAATGAGCGCCCCACTGATTTCTGAGAGCTTGACGAGGAGAGTGCCGTCTTTCAATCGAAGATCTTTGGTGGTGTTGCTGCCGGCGCTATACTTCGATTTTAAAGGGCTAATCCAGTGGTTCGAACCAAGGCGGGACGTACCTGACGTTCCCATTGGACGCGCATGCTCTGCGATAATTGGTTCCAGACCAACAGCTCCTCATTGCTCATCTGGGGGCTATTGAGCAGGTGCTATGTGAGTAACAATGCGCATGAGAAGCTTCGAGCAGAGTTTGACTCTGCAGAACCTAGTAGTACAAGAGCAGAGTAATTAAGACAAATGCGAAGCAGAGTACTATAGTCGCAATCATCGGCAATCACACGTGACGGCATTTCTCTTTACACTTGTACTACTACGTTCTGCAGAGTCAAACTCTGCTCGAACGCAATTAACAGACCATTACACGGGCCAATCTTATCCACTGGTACGACCGACGGTCATCGGAACCCCGACTCTGAGCTTTCTATGATGGATACGACTTTTTTCGCAACCTAATCCTCCCAACGGTAAGCTCTCATCTCATACTCATGTCCACCACCGAATGCTTTATATAGGGTATAGCTTTGAGGATCTTTCACTGTCAACTGTGTTGTCATTCGAACGTCTCCCCCTCATCTCATCTCTTAATTTTCAGAAGAGGACCGACCTCCGATGGCACGATGTCAGATCAAGAATGTGAGGTAGCGTACATATATTGCTCAATGTCGTCCTCTCTCCACTGAAACATCGTGAATCGCCACTTAAGAGGATTGGTTGAAAGTACGTTTTATTCATATAAGTCTTAGCTCTCTCTGATAGCGTCACTTTATCGTTAGGCCGTATCAGTACCTCCTAGCATCGTCTATCAAAAAGCCTCAACAGTGATCAAGAGACCCCATACGTGAAGCGCGAGGAGAGACGAGAACCGGGAAACCATCGAACGCATGCTCTCAGCGTTGAATCGTTTGTTTTATTTGTTGACGGCGATCCTATAGACGGAATGAGGGTTTTATCGGTTATTCCTGCGAGAAACGTATGTGGTTGACTATGAAATGATCATACATTGCATTCTGACTTTCACTTTCAGGATTTACTTTAAACGAAATTGCCTCGGGAAACATCCCGTCATGTATATATGATTTCCTTTTCAAGCCGGGAGGGTCTGCTTTGACCTCCCAACAACATATGTATCTTCAATTCATGTTTTTGTCTGCCCCTCCACGAACGTAGCGTTTATTCTTACAATAATGTGACCCGCGCCCATAATATCTCGAGACGGCTTATGTAGACGCAAATTCATTCAGAGCACAATTGCGTTCTTCACGAGATCGTTGGTGATGTCGTCGAAAATTTGATCCCATCGAATAGCACTGCTATAGAACAGGTACCAATTCTCGCACTTCCTAAACCTCACCCTTCATCCCCTCTGGCTGCCCAGACACTATTTTTTACTACCCTATTATTACTACGCGCCGTCGCCGTCGCCATCGTACCGCTTCCGCTTGCCTATAGCGCGTTAACGAGGGAACTTCCGGTTACAAACCGTTTGTTGATGACGCTTTTTCTTCACGGCCGACTTAAACGCCTCTTTGACCCACTCTCACGCGTCCCGCCTTTTGCTCCATCTCACCGCGTCTGCGCTTCCACTCAAACGTCAGGACTTTTCAGCGGTCGGACATCGCCAACGTTCGCCCGTCTGTAACACGCCTCACCCTACGCCTCATCCCGACGTGTCTGCCTGCAAGTGTTTCCCTTCAAACACCAGAATCTCTCAATATCGGTCTCATCACCGCGCAGACTGTAGCCTCACCTTCTCCATTCTTCCTCCTCACTCAGCACCTATGCGTCGATCCTCCGGGGAGCTACAACAACGTTACGATATGCGAGAGATCCGGGTGATTTCAGATGCTGATGGTCCAGGATATCTATACGCTTACGTCGATGGTGATTTCTGGAAAGTGGGGATGTCGAACGACTTTGTACGACGTCAGGAGGAGTGGGATAAGGAGTGTCCTTGCCCATGGAGAAAATGGTTTCCGCCTATCCGGGTCGCGAACAGACGGAGAGCCGGTGAGCTTTCTTAATCTTGCTTCCTGTTCATCTCATCGGTCTGTTCTAGAGTCCTTGGCGCATCTTCTGCTTGAGATGGAATGTCTTGACCGCCCGCGAATTTATTGTCAAAACTGTACGCATTTGCACTTCACTTTCTCAGTAGATAATCCTATATATGTCTAAAATACAGGTCAGCGAGCGCACATCGAAAAATTCGTTTTCTATGGACCTTTGCACGTCGTCTGGACCACAATTGTTTATCCGATCTTTTTGAGGGCTGCTGTTTCGTGAAGGTACGTGGTTGTTCACTTTCTAAAGCATTTTGGTTGACATTTCGATAGTTTAAGTAGATCATAACATCAAAATTGTGTCTTCTTGTTGACAATCTTGAATCTGGAAGTAATGTCTGAGTTGCAATATGTACAATACACAGACTAAAAGATGGGTGTCTGTGACTTTTTGGTGCCAAACGAGTGAATACTTATCAGTTACAGTAGAATCATCTAGATACGAACCAGCGGAACAGGTCCTCAACGGACGAACAATCAGATGTACAAAAATCTTCAAGCAGAAAATCCTCAAGTACTCGAAGATCCTCAAAACCTTTCAAGCTTCAAGATCCTAAATTCATATACATGTATATTTCGAGTAGATGTATCAATAGAATACGATTGTCCTTCGTATGTCTCCAGCTCAATGCATCACATATACCGACACGTCACGTATACCGATATCCTCAATGCCATCCCGACATCAGGGACATCCCGACCTTTTGATATGTCGACTTCGTCGACGTTCGAACGTCTGGACATCCCGACAACGGGTACGCATAGGCTCTGAGGTTTTTCAGAAAAACCAGGACCCCTGTTTATGGTAGGAGACCTTGGTTCTAAAATCGGTCAAAAACCAACCCAATTTTGCCTCTATGTTGGAAAAATTTTCGGTCAAAAATCATCCGCCGGAGGCTGAGCCCTCACCTTATTTTCGGTCAAATATCCAGATTTGGCTCAGATTTCCATCTGTCACCAGCTATGAGTGCGACCCTGTGCGACCGACTAATGGGCTCCGATAGGTCGCGCTCAGTCAATCCTAGTCAGTCAGAGTCAGTCCCGCCCAGCAGGTAAGATGAGGCTTCTAACGTTGGATATTGAACCCCAAACAACTTGAAAATCCGTAGTGTATATCCTTGTATATCTATCCTTCATGAAACTACTAAGTAAACAGATAGACACCACTAGACCGATATTTGTAATGTTTGAAATATTGTACTGGTACAACCCTTAATTATTGCTCCAACATGTTGAAGCGGATTGACCACTACTTCTAACCTCTATCAAGCACCATGCTACCCTCACAGGGTGTCGACAAAACCTCACCAGATGAATTCTTTATACGTGACAAGTGGATTGGGAAAAGGATCAGCTATTCTGCAAACACTCTGCCTCTATGTGTCATCCTTGCTCGCTGCGATGAAGAGATAGTACCTATTGAATTTCAGAAATTTTATCCATCGTCGTCCCTTTCATTTCAGCAATACATTCGAATTCCTCTACCTGACCGCTCGTATGCTCTGTCGTCCTTTACCTCAGAACGTTGGTTCAGTAATGATGTACCTGACACACGTACCATGGGTGAGCTGTGGAAGCTCCTCACCAGTCGTCCTCTACCAACATCTGGCGAATTAACAAGATTGTATGGCGACTTCGGTCAGCTTTGGCTGAATGGAGCTCGATCCATTCGTGATCCTCGATTTAACTCTGGGAAAGAACGGCTACCTCTATGGGTACTCACTGCATGGCATGATATGGTTAACTTTGCCGAAACACAGAGCAGTTTGGAGAAAGCGTACCGATCTTTGCAGGAGCTGATAAAGCAGAAACCAGTTGCAAATCACTTCCCAACGGTCGACTCCGTGTTCAGAAATGTGAAATGGAACCAGAGTTTCAAGCACGGCGGAGTTACTATTTCTGCCTACGAGTTCGCGCCTCTGCTGAGACAGGTCATGCTCAGTGATACAGTAACTCAAGGTATGATATCGTACCTCCAAGATCGCCTGTTTCGAGACCCGGTCCAGCGGCAGAACCACTATATCTGTGGCACCGGATTTTCCAGCTTCATTTCAGTAGCGGAAAAGAGAAACAGAATGAGCGCGCGTATCTTGAAAGATATTGAAGATGCAGTAGCTCGAAACGCAACTCTACAAGTATGGGTTCCTGTCCTGAGGGAGAAGCATGAAGTTGTGATAAAGATAGACTTCGGAGCTAGAACAGTTGGATATGGTGAGCTTTTGTCATTCACATATTGGAATCGGACTGACTATTGACCTTTAGGAGATACCTTGCCCGGTTTCTCCCCTCCAAGGGTTGTTGCCGAACACATACGCAGTTGGATCAAGCTTCGATACAAGATCAATTTTTCATGGGTTGGGAAGGCAAGTGTAGAGCATGGGATACAAGAAGACGGCATTTCTTGTATACCGGGAACAGCAAACATGATAGCTCATGCAATCTGGGGAGATGAGTTATGGACCATAAAGGAACGGATGCTTGATCGAGTCAGATGGTTTGTGAATTTGACAACAGTAAGTACAACAATAACTGCAAGGAGGCTAGTTTGAATTGACACACCTGTTAGCCAGCACCGGCTTCCCGAGTCGAAGACACAGAAGAACCCACGCCCGTTCATACACCAGCCACAGTCATCCAAAACCGGACACGACCTGACATCAGTAATCTCATCCATGCTCAGTCCAACGTTGAATTGATAACGAATGAAGAACTACTTGACACGATCTTAATGGTTCCCGATGCAGTTGTTTTGAACAACATGGGAGAGGAAAAGGTACTAGGGAAGAAGAAAGATGAATCCGAGGCCAGAGCTGCCGATAAGAGCGAACCATCGAAGTCCAGTGGTGCATTGAACTCGGCATGGGCTAGTTTCATGCGGCAGAAGAAGGAGGTAGTCGCAGGGCCCTCGGAAGTCTCAAAAAATCACAAAAAGCGTAGTCGTTCTTCAAACCCTGTCCCAGATCTCGAGACTATCGATGTAGCTGAGGCCGATCAACCACCAAAGAGGCATAGAGACAATGATTTCGAATCTATTCTTGGGCCAACCGGTAATTCTCTGTCGGCTCAAGCTGAAAAACGTTACACAGCAGAATTGGATGCGGGTGTATTCAATGAAGGAAAGATGAAAGAGTTCAAATGGTCATGCCTCATGGTTGATAAGCATGCCGAGTTTAACGCGAACCATCTTCGCAATGTTCGCTGCTCTAACTGTGGCCGCGAGACAATATGTCAGGGCGCCAAGGGTGCTCCCAATCCCAGACGTTTCAAAGACCACTATCGGAAGTGTGTAGCGGGTTACATCCACCTTCCTAAAACTCAGGCTCACGTCAAAAATACAAGCACGCTGATCAGTGGTGCTTTTCAAGGCTTTCAAAAGCTTTCCACCAACGTATCCTGTATCCTTGGAATTTCCAAAGCCAATCATCAGCCTGAACAGTCGTCCACTTCTCCTCCTGTTAATCCCACTCCGCTTCCTTGTCCTGCTATTACTGAGGCCGATAATCCTAGTGTATTGACGTACCTTCGGCGTTCTTCTGCTCTTGGGGGCGGTTCACACTCAGTGACCAAGATTGCTTTAGAGCTCTTCCATAAACCTTTCATTCTTCTCACTGCGTCGCAGAAAGCACAAGTTCTTGACAGGCAGGATAGTGAGAATACATGGATCAATAACCATCGCCGTTTGAGTTGTCGTTCAAGCTCATGCCTTGGTATCTCAGTTTTTGTCACTGAAACTGGACGTGTTCTCCCTTGCGACGAATGTCATAAGGTTTCTAGATCATCCAAATTTCTGAAAGCCTTGAGGTCGAAAGCTCCTGACACAAAAAACTTGAAATATATCCCCAAGAAGTATCAGAACAAGCTTCTCGCTCACCAGTGGGCAGCATCGAATGGACTGAAGGAGCTTGTAGAATCAGTGGTACGTTTGGCTATCAACTCCTCGAAGTCTTTGTGTTAAAAACCACTATCAGGATGACAGTTCAATCTATACCCGCTTTGCACAGGGTGCGATCGCTGGAAAGTACGATGACTATGGCGTGTTTTTGGGACTATTACATGCGATGGTGCAGAAGCAAGACAAGGATGAACGTGGGGTAGGTATGCAAAACTTTCAGTACAACCCGGAGTGGGACCAATTTATGCACATTGCGAGCATCCATAGTCCAAAGACATATGCCTTCATTCGTAGTCATTTCCCTGGCAGAACTAAACGCAGCTTCCAGTAAGATTGAGTCCTAGTTTCAAGTGGATCCACGCTGACAGCCTATTTCAGATTCCGCGAGTCAAAGGGACCGACATTGCCCATGACTATCAGTGAAGACACATTCACAGCTATCCAAGAGCATCTTCAAGCAAGAGGTTATTCCGGGCCGATTAATGTAGCTTGCGATGATAGCAAATTACTTGCTGGTCTACGTCTTCACTACGATGCTAAGAAGAAAGCCCACTTTCTGGTTGGAGGTATTGATGGACCAATTCTAGTTCCTGAACCTAAAGACATCGAAGAAGTCATGGGTAATCCAGATGTTCAGAAAGGTACTAAGGTGAGCCTTGTCACCCATTACCCGGTCTACTTTGCTCAATATCTGTTGCGTAGGTTCGCCTATGGACTGGTACTATCCCATTGCCAGACATGCCACCATTCATCATCGCAGCAATCCCAATTCCTGAGTCAATGTCCGTAGCAAAGCTGTTTGAGCTTCACAAGACTGTTCTCTTTGGTCTACTCGATCATCAAGTGAAGATCATATCCTATGCATGTGATGGTACCGAAAACGAACGGAATGTTCAGCAATCCTTTATAGACATTGCAGAAACGGTCATCGAAGAGACTATTCCTGATCCTCATCCTGGTCAACCACCTCTTGTTGTGCGAATTCCTGTCTTCCGTGGACAACCAATTGTATTAATTCAGGATTCGAAACATGCCCTCAAGACGTTTCGTAATAATCTCTTTTCTGGTGCTCGTTTACTTGTTTTGGGAAACTTCCTGGCTATGTATCGAGATGTCCGCGCGATGGCATTCGAGCCAGGCTCTCCACTATACCATAGGGATGTCGAGAAGCTAGATAGACAGGACGACAATGCTGCTGCTCGGCTTGGGTCTGCACAAACATTGCAATTCTTGGTTGACCGTCATCCTGAGATGCTCGGACTCATCATCTACCTTTTTGTCTTCATGGAAATCCCTGACGCTTACCAAAATAGACATATTCCGCATGAAGAGAGACTGAACATGCTTCTCCGCGCACGTTACTTCGTGAATATGTGGACCATATATCTAGACAGTTGTCCAGGCTATCTACGGTCTCAATACTGCATATCGCGTGAAAGCCTGGACATTGTCTCGTATCTAGTCAATGGACTGATTGGCTTGGTCGTTGTTCACCGTGACCATTATCCAAAAATCCCACTACTTCCCTACCTCCATTCAACAGAACCCTGCGAGCACGTCTTTGGAATCTGCCGCCAAATTGTCAAAGATTTTACAATGTATGACTTTTATCATATGGTTCCAAAGCTTATGCTTCGTATTCGAGAAAGTTTTCTCTTGAGGTCCAACTCCGAACAACCATCACCAGATGTGAAGGCGCGTGCGGCTGGCTATCACCATACCTACTTCGACACGAAGAAGCTCGATATTACTGCACTTTCTCACTACCCCACCAAGGAAGATATGCAAAACATTGCAAAGCGGGCTGGCAGTGAAGCGGACTCTCTCATGGTTGCTCTCGGTATCTCTCCACTTGAGCTCTTTGGTACTCCCTCAATCCTCCCTTCTCTTCAGTTGTGGGCCTCAGACAAAGTCTTCGGGTTTGAGGATAGCGAAGATGATAATCAGTCCTTCAGTGATGACGAGTCTTCAGTTCATTCCATTGAGTTGCTGCAGGATTACGTTCGGATTGTACTTGATGATGAGGCAGTGAAGCAACAGACCTCTAGTGAACATGACCGGTATGATGCATTGTGCAATGCGGTGCTTTTACTCTCTGTTGAGGACCAGCAGAGAATGTGCGTAATTATGTATCTTTTCTATGATCTTTAAACTGACATTGAGCTTAGCAATGCACTCGAGGAAATCAACGTGGAGGAAGAGGATGGGTGTATCGCGAATGATCTGCACCATGTTCAGACCTTTCGGAAACTCATTCGCAACCTTCCTGCTCTTGAAATCGATACACCAACACCAATTGCATTCACTAACAGCAATGACCATGCTATCCTCCTACGCAACCTTGTTTCATTGAGGGAGCAACATCAAACTGAACACGCCTCAAAGGCTGTTCGAGTACGAGGTGTACATTTGTCTAATTCAGATGAATGTGACACAGATATGTCACTACGTCGTCGCATGCTTGCGGTCTTTCATGATACTAATCGTTTGTCCCAAGACCGAGGCATTACCACTGCTAGTGAACGTCTCTTACGATGGACCAAAAGACAAACAGATTCCACAGGGAATAGTTTGAATGCTCAGAATATGGCGGCCGGAAATGCGAATCAGGTGTGTCCTGTGGGGATTTTTGTGTTTGTAGGCTAACTTCGGGGCTTTACTAGGCGTTAGCAAAGCGTCGCCGGCTTCTGTTAGAAGGAGGGATCAAACCCCTTGAAATCCCTTCTGAAGCAGGAATCTCAAAGAAATCCCCGCTTTTGGTTGGTTCTTGGGGATTTGTCTTTGCTCGTATGCAGAAAGATAAGCGGCATGCCTATAAGCTATTCCTTGGAAAAGGTATGTCATTGACTCAATCCCAAAATTGTTTCTCATATTGTTAAAAGTTGAGGCTTTATATTCAAAAGGTGGAGGAAAGAACGGTAAACATGCTGCAGTGATGAAGGCCGATAATATAGCGGCAGTTTCTTATATCGGGTTACAGCTCTTTGAACATTGCTATGATGCAAAATTCCATGCGATCACATCCCAAACTCGTCCGTATCCTACTCTCTCATATACATTCATTCCGTCTACAAACTTCTTTGCTATCACCAAGGCTCTCCCTCAATTGGTCACAGAACAATCTGGCCAAACGGTATATCTCAAATCCAATGCTGATGTTATCATGCATCAACACCTCACCCACTACTTTCATAAACTCAGCGAGGTTCTGGTAGCGCATGCGAAGCGGTCAAAAACAAGTACAGCCACCAGAAATCAGACCACAACGCAGAACCTGAAGGAATCTGCATTTGCATTGGAAGCGATGGAAGAGGATGATGATTTGGGTTTTTAGGCATCTTATTTACATGTTCTTCGTGTTTCTACATTCTTAAGCGCAAAGATACGCTCAAATGAAAAATTCTACATTCTACATAGGTCTGTAACAAATTTTCGGTCAAATTTGGGCTCCGGCGCGAGGTCACTCCCAAAATTCGGTCAAATTTTGGGCATCTGATAGAAAAAACTTTCGGTCAAAACCTGTTCATTTCGGAAGGTCTAAGAACTAACCTCTCCTACCATAAACAGGGGTCCTGAAAAACCTTGCCTTTTACACGAGGCGATTACTTGTATAATATTTGAATTTTTCCTAGCGAAAATTTCAAGCGATCATTCAGTATAACATTCCAATTCCACCTCCATTTACTCTATTAGAATAAATTAAATGACATTCAAGTAATTGGGGCCACTAAAGTCTGAATAATCGGCACGAATTTTGTGATAATTTCCTTAAAGAGGCTCGTTGTAGGATATTCTTGTTACATAATTGCTCAATATTGACTCCATAAGATGCTTCTATTTATGGAAGAACAATTTAAATATTCTCCCACCCTGAAAGTGAGCGGTTTATGTACCAAACCTCCCTATATATTCAGCCTTTCCTGGGTGAGAAAACGGATCGATCCCCGCAGTGTGCTCAATTATTAATTATATATGTTTCCTCCATGAATATCTTGAGGCAAATTCTAGGTGACCTCCCTTGTGGAAAAGACCCTCGCAGTTGTTTTGCTTCAAAGCTGGATGGAAGATGGTCAGGCCATTGTTGCTGCACTACAGAAATCTTGGTAGTAATTCATCAAGAGCCTTTACATTGTCTTTGACCATAACAGACCGTGTAATATGTGTAGGACAAAAGAACTATGGTAAACTAGTTATTCGGGAATCAGACGTTGCCAGCATGATTTCAATCCTAAATCCTGAATATCAGTCAAACTCAGAATCTAAGTCTAGTTCTTGTGGAATCGGAGGCAGGGGCTTTTCTGTGTTTTTACAGACTGAGATATGGGGTGTCATGTCAACCATCGGAATATCCTGGACATTGGCATTAAGAAGCTCTTTTCTCTTCCAAAACATCAATGCTTCAAGAAGATCCTATATGACACCTCAATAATGGTTTGATTACTTGAATCTCTCTACCGACTCACTTTATGGCTGCCGAAAATCATGGTACCCGCAACAGGCACTATTTTCATGAGAGATTATCTGAGGCTAGAGTTTTTTGGACCTACTTAATGAGAGAATTACGTTGAGCTCCATGAGTCCCTTGACAGAATTATGTTTCCCAATGAACGCGAGTAAGAAAAAGAAAAGACCAATGCTACAAAAACTCAAATTTAGACATCAAGCTTGTAAGTTGAAAATATGGTACTCACATAATGGCAAACAGACTGAACAAACTAAAACCAGATATTCTCAGTAGAGCTGACCTGTAGAATCCTTGGTAGCAGAACGATGGGTGGCGCCGAAAAGCAATATAAAAATTGGCTATCAATTGTCAAGATTATTGCCCAAGGAGGAAAAGGTAAATCAAACGCTTACCATTGAAGAACAGCACAGCGATAATAAGGATAACCACAAGTCCTGCTGTAATCCGGCCTCTGTTCCAAGAATAGGTGTGATGTGGGAAAGCAACATCAAATTGAACATACGGAACATGATTCTCCAAACTGCAATACGCCACCACAGTAAATTTCACATCTGGGTCGGTCAGAGCGACCTATGATCATCAAGATTAATAATTCATCCCGTATATAAGCTAATCACTCACACCCAACGAGATGAGAATGACAGTTATGAAAATAACGTAAGGTGCAATCAATGACTGCAAATGATGAGGTCAGACCCTTGCCGTCACTAAACAGTCTATACATTACCCCGTAGCGAATGCACTTGCGATGCAACACCGTTCTCCCCAGTATCCTTTTCATCACGGTTAGTTGGAGCTTGCCGAAACATTTGTTAGTAGAAAGTGTAAAAAATCAGCAAACTCACCTCCAGCACGAGGTTCAAAGCACAGGCCGAGGAGCTGCCAATTATCATCAACATTATCAACACAGATAGTTTGAGAAACTAACAAGGGGGGTGCTCCATAGGTAAGCGAAGATTGCAGCATACATATACTGCGGGACGGGGTGCCTTCAAATGCATGACCCTCAAAAAGAAGGAGGGTGTATGAAAACGCAAAAACCGCCCAGGAGAGAATAAAGTTCCACCAGGAGGCACGGCGGGAAGACGTCGAGAAGACTCCGGCGACCAGCGCCAGAATGGCAAATACAAGTCCCATTAATTGGAACACGAAGAAGCAAATGACAGCTGCTCGGAGAGGTCCTGAAAACATCGTGAATCGATTTTGTATCATCATCAGTAAAACAGCCTCACCAGTTAATGGGCTTATTGTCTCCGACAATTGAGCCATAGCCAGGAGGATCTCTATGAACGAAGTATGAGAAAGCTTGGGATATGGTGTGCGGTCAAGCATTTCATCGTGTTCATAAAGGTTTGCTTGTACTATGAATACATGAATCGTATTTGGGTATGAGCATTTCCATATCTTTGAGGGTTCTAGTCAGGACTCAGGAGACTACGAACAATTTCAGTGCCCACGGACTGAGTTCTTACGGGCACAGAGAAGTTCAAATTTAGATTGGCATGTAAGATGAGTAGCACCTCAGTCGATGTGAGATCACAGCTTGAGACATTCTCTTAGTGGTCAATGACACGTCCGATGATCATGCATCTCGTTAATATCTTATATTATCTCTTTGTTCATCTCAGCACAAATTCAATGCAAAGTGTTACAGTTTGATTGCCTGCCCTGGAGGCATCTGTCGTCGCTTGGACAATGTCTATAGTGATTGGAATAACTCTCAATGGTCTGGTTCAACCATTAATGTCTTTAGATGCAAAATGCCGGGGATGATGTTCTAAAGTACCAGTGGGATTTACACGATTTCTAACAGATATGAATCATATACCTTTGGGTCTTGTCAAGGCTGTTGCTACTTTGATGATAGCATCTGCCAACAAAAGCTGACTCCGATCCTCATAGGATGGGGACAGGATACTAGGAACAATATGGCTGTATCTAGTGATTCAAATATCAACGGGGAGTTCGGCCATTATTATGTTTCTATTCGAGGTATCCGCCTCAACTTAATCATACCTGATGGCTCAGATAATGAACTATTGTCCGCTATGTTTAATTAAACGTCCATGTCCTGAAAAAGAGGGGGGTTTCAACACAGTCTGTTGTGTATCTTTCTGCAGAGACAGGGTATTCGTGCAGAGAGGGCAATTCTCGCCCTTGCTAATTACTATTCTGTTGCACTTCGGCTGATTTACTCACCAACGTCGAGGTTTACTCTGATGTGACTCTGGACTCTCAAGTTGAACTCCGATCACATTGAGGAAATTTTCGACCTGTCTTCTTCAAGTCTCCGATGCTCTACCAAAAATACATGATCGATTCTTCTACCAGTTACAACTTGAATGGGAGAAAAGCATCATGTTCTTGAATTGATTATGTGGTAATCAATTCAACAACCGCGCAAGGACGAAAATAAGTGGGATGATGGACAGTGAATCAAACATCTTTAAACTCACTTGAAATACTTCAAATTACACTGTAGCGAACAAAGTTGTATTATACTGCAAGTTTTTCTTTCAATCCAATACAAATATATCATCATCACATACAACTTGTTTTGATCCGGACTCAGAGATTCAATTTACATCAAATACGTTCGACAGAATATATTATCGATGGACTTGTGAAAATCCCAATATACATATTCTGTGGTAGTCTGACTCGAGGGGCGAATGCATCCGGCTTATGCATTGTGGATTGACCTCGGAAACAAGCTCGGAAAATTTTCAATCTATAAGAGATAGAAGTGTCATAAACAATACTAGGCATGATCCTGTTACTTAAACGGTAAACCTGGCTCGAACGGTAAGCGCTGCTGGAGAACACCTCAAGTTACATGCATCTTAGAAACGATCGGAATTTGATGAACTTATCCGAGCTTGTGAGATTTTATTGCTGGGCACCGACATTATTAGTATCTCTACATCCCCCGAACATAGACGTGGTCTTGACTTGCTTGTAACCAACAATGATTTATGAAATTGTTGTTGAATCTTTCTTCAGGTAGGATACTCTACAAAATTTATGGCTGGTGAAATAGAGTTTGAATGTACTACTATTGATCTTCGCTTTCTTTCTATGATATTTACCATAAACCCTGACTATGCCTTCCGTCATCCATCACACAATCATGCTCTGTATCCACAATGGATCGAATACACACAGTTTCTTTGAACCTGTTACCCATCGTCGCCTGTAAGCTCAGAAAACGTGGAGCTATAATCCGGCTGTGTCTTCGTCTGAGAAGGGGGTTCCAGTGTTGTAAGTACAGTTATGTGGAAGATGTTGTCCGTGACATCTTCTCGAGAATAACCAATCCAACTTCTTTCTATCAGAAATTCCGTTCTGATTACGAGAAAGAGTGCGAGGTGGCAAATATGGTCATTCCTTCCCAGCTAAATGGCCACAAGTTGCAGGTTCACAATCCTGTATGTCTAATCATTGATCTGACAACCACTCATCCCCATAGTTGTGAATTTCATCAAGAAATTTCGATCAAGCCGACCTGCGCTATTGTAGAGATACTAAGAGGACATCGGAGATGGAACCTTGGTGGGTTTTTTGCATAAGTATGTAGCACGGATGTGTGAATTTCGGAAACCATTGTCAGACAAATCCATGAAGACTTGGAGGTTCGATTAAGTAGGAAGAGCGTAGGCCCTTTCTCGTATGTATACTGTTGTAATAATAGTGTATAGTTTCGAAACCATCAGTTCTCCATCTCAATCCAACGTGTTCCACACTCTGCCCAGATTCCAGCTGTGATTGCTCTTTCGTTATCATCTTCCTGTGGCCACACTACATACTGTTGCATATCTTGTAACCAATTCACCTTGGATGATAAGCTTCTAGACCATTCTCTGCAAGCCTGACAATCACTGACTTCAAAAAAGAGATCGGATTAAAATCAAATTGTTCTGTTGTACTTCGAGAGAATGCCTGATCAATGGGGTCCAATATAGATCAATGATTGTTTCAATGTCATGCAAAGTGGTATCGCCTGGGGGTCGCCGTGTTTCAAGCGTAAGATATGGACTCGCCGAACTGTTGGAAAACAGTGCAACTCTGGATCCAAGGGCTGCTCGGGGAGTCGGTGTTGCAGAGATTCTGAATATAGCAAGTGATGGTGTGGGACAGCCAACCAAAATCCCTGCAACGCTGTCTGTAACAAAGAACACTATACGTGGCATAAGGGCAGCCTCGTGGTCCAAGTTGTGAAGATACCAGAATCAACGTGTTCTTGATGTCGTGGGGCTATACGAAAGCTCTACAATTGTACCGCCGCAATGATTTAATCGCGCAGGATCACATACAGGATGCAACGCAACTGATATATAATTTTCAAACAGTCAAAGAGGATTTGACACTACTTCTTGTCTGAATATGGTGAATACAATATCCTTTTGCGGAAGTTTTATTTCATAAGGGAAGCGTGATAGAAGAATTAAGCCTGTTGTCGAGTGCTCTGGATGATGTAAAACCATACCACAAAAGTTTCTATGATCATCTCAGCTCGAGAATCAGTGCTGCACAATGAGTTCATCTCGATTTTGTAAGTCCTCGATTGTCGTAGTAGAGATTTACTTGAATTTTCATGCATTTTTGCTTGACCCTATAAATACATACTTATATTGTGTCTGTGATCACTCACAAGTTTTCTCTATTCTCCCTTCTTCGAAATAGGCAATGACTATCCCTGCTGAATCTTCAGTGCCTGCGAAGAGCACGTTTGATCAGGTCCTTCTAAACGGAGCAACAGGCGTTGAACTCTCTGAGATCCAGGAAAGCACTCACCATGATCATGCCGATCCCGATACTTTAGGATCTACAAGCAAGGACACTGCGTCAAGCCTGTCAGACTTGGAGGAACATTGTATGATCCATTTTACTAGCTTCTCCGCTCCTACTGATCTGCTGCTCTCTGCAGACTCAGAACCCTCAATAAATCACTTCCCTGGCAGGGTATTCATCATCTACAACCTATTCATCCAACCAACTCCCTCGAGCTGATGACCTCTTTGTTTCATTTAGTTCCCCGCTGATGACTTCGGGCTCACTCCTGGAAATGTTCATCGATTTTACCATGATTGGAAAAACAACGTTTGTGACACAACGGTGAGCTTCTGTCCTTCATCATTCTCAGAATATGATTAATGGTCTCTCAGCATGTCAGTTTTCCGTCCTCCTCACAGCTAATGTCTGGAAAATATCCATATTCAGATCAAGAGCTGCGACTTCCCCCGGTCTCTCCATCACTCAATGTCAATAACTTTGCAACCACCTCCACTGTTTATCCTAGACCTTCCGTTGCTTCAGACTGGATTCTCCCTTACTTGAATGTGTGCGCCTCCCCTTTGTCCTCATTCAACGATGCTCTTAGCGCACAGTCCTGGGAGGCACCATTCTTCGGTTGGAACAATATCGACATGGGACTTTTGGGTCTTCAATATCACCAATCACTGGAATCTCCCTATCAACTGGAAACACGATCTACGGTGAACAATACAATGAGTCAAGGATCACAGGAAAACAGGAAAAAACCGAGGAGGAGGAGTAAGAAGAGGATTCGGGCATGTTATTGTTGTCGTAAACGCCATGTGAAATGTTGCAGAACAAACACACAAAGTTCTGACGTAAATCTCCCTGCTGAATCTTCAGTGTCTACGGAGAGCACGTTTAATCAGGTCCTTCTAAACGGAGCAACAGGCGTTGAACTCTCTGAGATCCAGGAAAGCACTCACCATGATCATGCCGATCCCGATACTTTAGGATCTACAAGCAAGGACACTGCGTCAAGCCTGTCAGACTTGGAGGAACATTGTATGATCCATTTTACTAGCTTCTCCGCTCCTACTAATCTGCTGCTCTCTGCAGACTCAGAACCCTCAATAAATCACTTCCCTGGCAGGGTATTCATCATCTACAACCTATTCATCCAATCAACTCCCTCGAGCTGATGACCTCTTTGTTTCATTTAGTTCCCCGCTGATGACTTCGGGCTCACTTCTGGAAATGTCCATCGATTTTACTACGATTGGAAAAACAACGTTTGTGACACAACGGTGAGCTTCTGTCCTTCATCATTCTCAGAATATGATTAATGGTCTCTCAGCATGTCAGTTTTCCGTCCTCCTCACAGCTAATGTCTGGAAAATATCCATATTCAGATCAAGAGCTGCGACTTCCCCCGGTCTCTCCATCACTCAATGTCAATAACTTTGCAACCACCTCCACTGTTTATCCTGAGTCTTCCGTTGCTTCGGACCTTGTCCTCCCTAACCTGAATGTGTGATCCTCTGCCTTGTTCGCATTCAATGATGCTCTTAGCGCACAGTCCTAGGAAATAGCATTCAGGATGGGGTGAGTGTTTCTGGCACAGACAATGCTAATGCTAACGTGGAATGTTCTAGTCTTCAAAATCACTAGTCCATGGACTCTTCATGCCAAAATGCCCTATTGTAAAGAATTTATGTTTACTTATCTTGTTCGGTAAGAAGTGTCGGGTATACCCTCAGTGTCCAATATAACTATCCTATCCTATCCTATCCTTGGCTACCAATTTAACTTAGTGGATTGAAAGTCCGCCAATTTGCGTGAAATCGTGAAATCATCCTTGCAAAGTTAACTTGTCTGACTGCTTTGGCTTGGTGAATTTATTTAACTCAGCCACATAGGCCACATATGATCGTATACAACCCAATGTTTTACCATCTTGGATGTCATTATAAGACTATGTTTGCAGAGTAGTCAGGTACTCTGCATAATTCTGACCGCATCCGAGTCTGCAAAACCTGTACATAATCTGCAAAACATGGATGTTCGCCAGAGCAAGCATACTGGCTGGAGAGCGCTGTCCAGCACTGAAAGCACTCCCAGCAGTATTGATCAACTGCTGGGAGTGCTTTCCCAGCTGGACAGCGCTGTCAGCTGCTCTCCAGCTATTAGCCGAAAATCCAGGTTTTACAGATGTGACTGTTCGGCTAAACAGCCGAAAGCAGCTCAGGGCACTTCCCACTGGCAGCAGCAAAAGCACCCAGAGCAGGCTTTCATTTTTGGTTTGGGTGCTTTCGTCGCTGGAGAGCGCTCTCCAGCCAGTTATCCTTGCTCTGGCGGGCACAGAACATTTGCAGTACCATATGCAGTGACATGTGCAGTAGTCCTGCAGTGACATATGCAGTGACATGCAGTAGCACTCAAGTTACTCAAATATATATGTAAATAGATGATCCTCCACTGTACAAAATATATCCCATTCTATAAATGCTTTGTATGACAATAACAGGGAGTATAATGGCCTGTAGGGGCTGAATGGATATGTGAATATTTGATTGAAATTGGATAGTGATCTCATTATTCTGTCAATTCCGCTGCCAGGTTTCTTGACATTGATTCTCAATGCAGGCTTTCTGTATCTTGTATCATTAATTTCAGCTTTGTAAGTAATATCCTCTTGTACTACAATATGATACCAACTGGTGTTCACAAAGCTAGTATAATTCCAAATTCCACCATCAATAATTTGGGTGGATTTTGAAAGCGGTGGATAAATGATGACAATTTGGCCAATGAGAACTCCAAAAAGCAAAAAATGAATGTATAACAATACACATACTGTCCTCTAGAATTTTCCAATCAAAGTATTTCTTATATCAAGTATCTCCTTTAGTTTAAGTTGTTTTTGTAAGTCCTTGACCAGTGTTTATACATGGCTCTGTGTCTCTGGGTTAGGTTCTTCAACCTAAATCTGGTGATACTATGAGATTGCAAGAATATTTCCATCATGCCTTTTATATGATGTTCCAGAACCATTGGCCAAAATCAGCAATGTAACTTCCTCCCCTTCATAATCTTAACTATCCACAAATGACCCAGAATAAACTGTGCCAATAGTGCTTAATTTGTGAGAATTATAGGGGGGATAGTAGCTTCACAATATTGGTGGCTCAATAATTTTCCAAAGGCCGTATTCAAAATACTTGTAGTGTATAGAGACACTCAGAGCCTTGTGATTTAATGCAAGATTTCAGTTCCCAATAATTTCAATGCAAAGGTACAGAGCCTCATTGCCCATAGTAAGACTGCAAGTAAGTGCAGGAACAATGCAGGTGAATGCAGTAACAGTACAGGTAAGGTGCAGGCTAATGCAGTCACAGTGCAGGTAAGGTGCAGATGTGTGCAGTTACAGTGCAGATGAGGTGCAGGTGTGTGCAGTTACAGTGCAGTTGCATGCAGTCACAATGCAGATGTGTGCAGTTACAGTCAAGGTGAATGCATTCAAAAGGTAGGAGCATGCAGATGCATCTGTACATCCTAGATTTCTGTCTAAGAGACTGACTGCACTTCCCAGCACTGAAGTGGTTTGTAGAAATTGCTTTCAGTGCTTTTGGCCGGACAGTGCTTATTAGGGAAGTACTCCATACATAGGACCAGTGGACAGTTACATAAATGGTGTTATTGTCTTATACTGTACAGTAGCAGACACATCATGCCGACAGCAATATCGAGTCCCTCAGTTGCTTCAAAGACAACTGAAGTGAGCCCCAAGTATACTAGCAGTACATTTGTCATACTAACCAACTGTAGTTATCTCCTAACAGGTACTTACCTACATCAACGATTAGTTGCTTCAAAGACAACTGAGTTATCTCCTAACAGTGCTGTCCAGCTAGTACCCTTCATCTGCAAAACCTGGATATTCAGCTAAAGTCTGAGAGCAGACCCCAGCAGATCCCAGTGCTGAAAGCACTGAAAGCAGTATGCTCTGAGTGCTTTCACTGCTGGGAAGTGCTCCCAACTGCTTTCGGACCCTTAGCCAAAAATACAGGTTTTGCAGATGTTGCTGTCATGGTCACACAGGTTTTGCAGATAATATGAATGTGTGAGTACAGTGAAGTGCTTGTGCCATACATAACTAACCATATAGGATTTACATACATCTGTAAACCAAGCAATATATCAACTCAATGTGCATAGACGTATCCTGAAATAGTTGAACATGTGGCAAAAATGAACTCAAGATAGGTTAACATAATTAGACAAAATACATATAAATGCCATAAGTGTGATGTAGGTGCATGCGGATGCACTGCAGTGGAATGCAGATACCATGCAGTGACTGTCACTGCAGGTGGTACTGCAAATGCTACTGGCCACACCAACCTCCACAACCTCATTAATTCACAATCAGAAGATGCTAGAAAACTGTTTATACATCAAATAATTCAAGAAGAAAAAACCGGTGGCAATGAGGATATCCAGTCTCTGCTTTCGAAGCATCCTCTTCTTGTGGAATTGCTCATGAGAATGCATGAGATGGAAGTATATGAGGATTTTTTTGCCAAAGAAGCTTGTTGAATGTAGGGAAAGTAGTCTGGGGGGTGCGTTATTTTTCTGAGAGTTCAGTCCATTTGTCATGAAGTACGTAGCCCCTATCATTTTCCTTTTCTCACCGTCTCGACGCCCTTACTTGTACGATTACATCACTGTCAAATCCCATCGATTACTGATCCACCTGTTACCCTTCTCCTTCTACTGGCTTCCGCCACCTTCCTTGTTCCTAAACTGTACAGTATTACATCGCTATTTCTCGCAGATCGGATTATATATATAAAGCCACTCCCTCACAGCCTGGTCCCTCATCTTGACCTCTCTGTCATTATCTGGGACCAGGTATGTGCTTACTTATTATTACCTATGACTACAATACTCAATATATCTCTGTCATTATCTGGGACCAGATTGCCTGCACTCCGCTTAGTCGCTCCGCTTCATTGCTCTGCTCAGTCACTCCGCTCCATCGCTCTGCTTAGTTGCTCCGCTTCCCTGTTCTGCTTCGTCACTCCGCCTTTGTCGCTTTGTGACATTAGGTCAAGATCCATTACTGCACTGACAGCCTACCAATAAGGTTGTCCTTGCAGGATCTGCATACATCACATCTTCTACACTCGTAGATCCTTCCGATCATACTGCTAAAACAGACTGCTCCGCTCTCCAACACGCACTTGACCCCAGAGATCAGCACCACATCCACCATAGTGGCGATAGCTGGTACGACTGTGACTCTCAGCCTTGCCCCCGCGCGCTCTCCAATTCAGTTCAGAACCCAACTACTGTAGAAGATACAACCTTCCTGCCAATTCCCCACCCCCGATTGCCTACTCCTATCATGTCGACTCCTGTCCTGACTGCCCAGACTACCTCTGCAGATGAACTCATGACTCAGCTCATTAAACAAGTAGCCAACCTTGCTACAGCCATGGAGGAATGCTCGTCCTCCAAATCCAGCATGAACAAACCTGAGGTATTCAAGGGTAAAGACAGTAATGAAGCACGTTGTTTCAGAGCTCAGTTCCAGAACTGGGCCTCAGAACAACCTGATCTCGCCAACAGTCAGGTAAAGCTTATCAAGTCAGCCTTGGGCTTCTTTACAGAAGGTGCTGGAGACTGGGCAACCCCTCACCTGCTACATTTTAATGCGGAGAATCCCCTGTTCGAAGGCAGTTGGGAGAAGTTTCTCCTAGAATTCGGTCAGCAATTTGAATCAATAGACCCAGATATGGAAGCCCGTAATGCAATCCAATCCCTTAAGCAGGGTAAAGGGCAGACAGTAGCAGAGTTTGCTCAGAAATTCCAGGACATTGGAAGTTGGACTGGGATGTCTGATATTGATTTAAGGGAACATTTCTACTCTGCCCTACTTCCGAAGATACAACAGAATCTGATCATGGTAAACATTGGTCAAGGAGTTGCTCGGACCCTAAAGGAAGCCATCACACAAGCTGTATCAGTAGATGTCTACTTACATGACCCCACCCTGACTGGTCAAAACCTCGGACCTACCCGCTCCCATGCTACCCCTGCTGACCCCCATTCTATGGATATCGATGCCACCCACACCAGTAATGGGAATACTAGGGAGGCGTTCCTGGCCTGCATGCGAGGACGATGTTTTGGCTGTGGTGCCCAAGGTCATGTCAAGCAAAACTGCCCACATCGAGAAACCACCTGCCATTACTGTGGACGTCGAGGACATCTGGAAGCAGTCTGCCAGGACAAGTTCATGGGACTCGGACGAGACCAAGGCCAACGCCAGCAACCGCGGCGCCAGCAGATATCAGCTACGAGCACTGCGCCATTTTCTCTATTCCCAAATGAATCCGTCCAGATCGCTACCTCGACCCCAACATCTGCTCTAGCTACCGTACCCGCTACCCCGAGCCCCCCTAACCAGGACTTTTCCAACCAGATTGGTCAAATAAGGGAATTACTCGATCGTGCTAATGCCATGTCTTC